TACATTTACTATCAGTTTGTCATTTGATTAATTTGGTAATGTGCACCACCTACAACATTAACATGGGTTACTCAATGTTGCAACCCTGTTTTGTGTCAAAATTGAGTTGTAACCCCTCGATTAATCTAGTGTATCTAGTGCTTAATGTGTGCATTTTGCCAATATAACAGATTTATTTACCAAAAACTGAATGAGATTTCACATTATCTGCGCTGGCTGGTGTCTTGAACCATAAAAACAAGGCATACCAATATATAAATACATCTGTAAAGACATTCTTAACGAGCCTCAATGTCATTTAGCCATATTTTCTCTTAAACCGGAGTGGCATTAGCTGTCTAATTTGTAAAGTACTACGCTAAATGTACGTGCTAGTCATTAAAAACTAACACAGACAGCAGAGGGCAGTGTGCAAATGTTCCTCCTTTTAAATACATGTTTTTATCCAGTTTGCGCAAAGTAAAACGTTTCAAAACTACATATCAAGCTTTCTGAGATTAATATGAAGCTTAGAACCGGATATCTGCAGGTTCAGATGGAATCACTGCATCTCATTACATTACATTCAGCTGGTGCTTTTATCCAAAATCAACAATGACGAAACAAACAAAACAAAAAAGGAAAGATCCTGCAGCCACATTAACTTTTAATAAGTGCTACTGCATTTGTTTCAAATAGGCAAAAAATGTCATGACCTTTTGAAACGTGCGATGCAATTTTAGTTCTTAATTTGATTTTAGCAGGTCTTAAAAATGGTTTACTGGTTAGAGATCGTACCAGTTGTACAGATTCGCACCAAATGGGTGATTTTATTTTGCACTCCACTGATTTATTTTGCCTATTTCCAGTGCAGTCTACGTCTGTCCTCTTTCATTTGAATTGAATCCAGTCCAGTTTCTTCGATATCAGCCGGGTTTCTACTCCTCCTCTGCTTCAGCCTCACAGACACTCCAGTGACAATCCCAGCTCTCCTTTTAGTCCCTTAAAAAAACTAACCCTGTGTGTGTTAGTGTGTGAGTGTGTGAACGACTGTATGAGTGTTGATGTGCGGACAGGCTAATTTAAGGTACGATTCAGTGTACATTTTATTTTTATTTTCTAACGTCAGAGTCTCAGTCTTAAATGAAACTCCTCAGGCTTTCTGCTGTGAGTGACTGCATGTAAAGGGACTTCAATTTGAGCTTTCATTGAACACTTGCCATGTCGGAAAACAAAATATATGTACAGGTTTAATGAGAAACGATGCTAATAAGCTGGGGGAAAAAAAACGAAATGACAAGTGTCTAGTGTCCTTTTATCATGTTTCTAATATAATATAATATGCTGGAACAGGTGACAGCTAATATAAATTAAGGTACTGTAAAGAAAGATTTCACAATGCTGTTGTTAAAGTGGCCGTCGCTATATATGCAGGGGAGCTAAACCCTGAACATGCAAGGTACTACTGACATTTATTTGATAGGAAACAGCCTTTTGGACCATTTTACACTCTAACCCTGCGTTGGCACTCCCAGCACTTTTGAAACGCATACACTGTCGCTGGTATTCGAGCAGAGCAGGACTCAATGTTGCACAGCGGCCATTTTGAATAGTCAAAGTAGAAATTTGCTGACGTATAAAATAGCTCATACAGTAAATGTGTGTTTTGTTTGTTAAATTGGATCATTTGTTGTCAAAAAGCACTGGAATTTAAAGCAAACGGAGGAATTATTGTATTTGTGAGGGACTATTTTCAGTGGCGGATTAATCCACATTTAGCGTACTTGTAAATATTTGGTATAAAATTGGACGACAATGCAGCATCTACAGATGAAGAAGACAATATGTATATATAGAATATCATCTGCCCTATACTTTTTGGGCTATTTCTTGAATAAAACTGCAGATTATTAAACCGTTTTGAGAGTAAAAGCTGTAGTAGCTGCTTACAATTAGCACGAGGCTAGCTAGTAAGCTAAAGACTGCGGCAGCTCACTATAGCTAAAAGTATTCAAGTTTACAAATTCCTTCTCCAAAGTTTAAGGACTTATAGTTACCTCCTACAAGACGTTTGTGTATTTATTTTTTATTGTATTTAATGTGGAAACTACTGAAATTAAGAGCAAAGGATTAGCATAGCATGGGCCGAGGAAGAACCCATTACATTTTGGAGCAAACCATAATCACGGGGGTGGTTACATAGATGTTATTTAACTTATTTTACATTGGCATTTGGCCTTGATGGACGCCTGTGTTCTTTGAGTACCATTTTAATTTCTTATTTGTTTATAATGTTGAGTATAAAGCTTTTTTTTTGAGCTGTTGTTTACTATTGATGCCTCCAAATGGAGTTGTGTTGGTTTGTTCTGGAAAACGTGCCAATGGAAAGGAACCATGACCTTTCTAAAAGCAAATATAGTTGTATTGTTCTTTGAAAAATCACTATTTTGGACAATAAGGCATCTAACACATTCAATCACTTAATTTCCTTTGTCAAAAACACAGGAGTTTCTTTGAATGCAGCATCATTTCTCCACCATGAGTATTCAAAATGGCCGCTGCATTAGCCAGTTGGACAGGTAACGTTACTGTAGATATGATCATTAGCTAGTTAGCTAATTGGCTGCTTTTTAATTTAATGCCACGGTTACTGAATTCCCACTGAGACGACCAATAGTTACCTGAGTGACCAGCCACTGTCCAATCAGAAGTCAGCTTGACCTGAGGAAGGTGTGATCGAATGATTGTTTCCCCTGAAGATGAATTTGTCTTAAACCCCTCTTCCTCTTCTTCCTCCTCTTCCTCTTCTCCACACTGTACTGAAACTGATCCAGTTGCTGTCCACCCACCAGGTTGTGTACAATACTACTGCTATCTGAGAGTTAATATATGAGCGTACAGGAGGCCATAGAGACAGTCTGCTGTTAATTATCACTGTAGAAGAAGAGATGTACGTTGTTGTCTTTAATGTTCAGAATAAACTTCAGTTGGACCAAGACTGCAGCTGATTTATTACACACACACACACACACACACACACACACACACACACACACACACACACACACATTACTTCAGGGGACATTACATTGACTTACATGCACTGGAGACTTATCCTAACCTTAACCAACACATGCCTAACCCTAACCAAGTCTCCACCCTAAAAGTAATGATTCCACTTATGGGGACCTCCATTTTGTCCCCATAAGGGAAGCCAGTCCCCACACTTGACTGTATAAACAGATGTAGGTCCCCTCAAGGATAGTAATGTTAGGACACACACACACACAGTATACGTTTGTACATGAAGAATGAAGATCCATTTTATGTTGTACAAGACACAGTACAAATACACACAGGTGAACAAATGCGCATTTTGGAGAGACAGCCAGTCTAGGGGGAGGGGATATCTGCACATTTACCCTTTAAGACTGTGGTCTATATTTGTGGTTTATTTGGGAAATTATTTAGTTAGCTCACACATATACAGGAATAAGAAAGGAAATAATTGTATTTGTCCCAAAATCACATGTATTATGCCTTGATGTTTCTTTAGAAATTGTTTAAATGGAAAATCCTAGACATTTCCCCTTTTAGACTTCTACAAATTAATCGAGATAAACAAATCTCTGGTTAAAGGTGGGGTAGGTAATTTTGGAGAAACCAGCTCGAGTGCGCTAGAATTTGAAAATACACAACCGGAAAAAATCTGCTACTTCCTCACAGAGCCCCTCCTCCAACACACACGAACGCGCACGTGACCAATGAGGGCACGAGATAAGTTTGTGCCCAGATGGAAGGCTGACAGGCAGGTAGGCCATCCAGTTACTTTAGCCGGGCCGGCTCAGATGATTGGTCGTGCTTTTTACAGCGCCACGGCTTCCACAGATGATATTTTGTTATGGATTTTTTGTCAAAGCACTTAAAATATTCATTGCTATCGGGATGTTACGAGCATTCCATGGAATATAATATATAATATATATAATATAAGTGTCTCGAGCCGGTTTCTCAAACTTACCTACCCCACCTTTAAACCTAAACATGTAACAAATATTTATATTCTTATGCTGTTTATTGTTTTAGCTCTACATGATGCAGTGTGTATTTGTGTTTATCTTTTGCACAATTTAAAGTAAATCCTAAAAAAAATATATGACTGCAAAAGATTATTGGTAAAAGAAAAAAAAATCACATTAAATAAAAATGATTCATTATTAACAAAGAGCATTTACTCTTTATTACAAAAAATGGTAATAATTAAATAAACGAAAAGGTTTATATAGGCAATTATTTCCTATTCATTTATGTATCTTTATTTGTCCACAAGTATTTAAATGTAGTCATTTACTTAGTTAATTGACATTTTTGTTAGTATCTTTTTGGCACTACTATTGCTCCAGACCTTTTAGTGTTTGTTGACACATTCATTTTATAAAAAGGAACACACATGCAGGCTCTATGTATTTCCCAACCAAGGTCTATTTTGATTGACATGACACCTGCAGGGCTAAAAGAAGACTTACAGGATTTTGGGTCAGGTCTATTAACTGAAGTATGTATGTATGGGTCCAGAACATACTCATGTCCCACCCTCTTAATTTAATCAGGGAATAGTCCTTTCTGTAAACATGCAATAAACAAGAATAAAGGGGTGTGAGAAAGTGATCTTCTCGTGTTGTGCTGTCCATGCAGAGAAAGGGGGCGTTTCCTTTTCACAACACACAAAGCCACAAAAACGCCAGATGTTACCCACATTCCTTTCAAAATAAAAGCACCACATAGAATTGCAGTTAAGAAGTAAGTGAAAAACATTGAAGAAAATCCAATTCACCATTAATACTTTTTTAACGTTTCTACTTGAACATTTACTATAATTCTTAATATTTATTGTAATCTATGTCAAGGGCCGTAACGCTTTCAAAAAGACAGATTTTAGTTGAGGCTTTTATTTTGAAAAGCCTAACCGGAGCTAGTCCGTCTTTTTCTGTGTTTCTTGACATCAACATTTGGAGGTTTAAAGAACGGAGCTTTAAAAATGCTTTGAAAACACGGGACAGCTTAAACAAATATATTAGCTAGCTCGCAGATAACCCAACAAACAGCCGGTTAAAAGTCGATGTAATCATTTAAGGTCGACATTAAAAGAGCGTTGTATCTATGCGTTTAGATTATCTACCTAAATGCATTCATTGCGTTTGTTATTTTGGCATTTTGTGCAATTTTAATGCGTTAATATACTATGTTTGTGTGTTAAAATCGGTTAAAACAGAGTAAAACTGCCATGGTGGAGCACAGGGAGCTGCAGGACATTTAGTTCTTTCCCAGAGAGACATTCCTCCTCACTGTTTACCAAAGAGTTACACACTTATATTACACCTATATATATATTATTATTTAAACAATCATGGCTGCTGTATTGCTCAGAAGAGGAACAGGATTATGTGTAAGTATATTTGTTTATGTCCTATATGTTCATAACATGACTTTATGTTGACCTCATGTGTTAAACTATAGATAGCAATGACTTACGCCATAATAAAGTAACTTATGGGAAGTATATTCAATGCATTTAAGGTTATTGCACTTATTGCATGTTTAACTACACTAACACGGTGTGTCACCAAATGTAACATGTACATTTAGGGTACATTTCTCTCAAAGAAGAGAAGTAAGGCCCTTTAACATGAAAATAAGTGAATCTGAAAATGACATATGTACAGGATAAGAGTATACAGTTACATTACATATGCTGTATATTACAATTGACTAGGCTATCTAGAAACATAACCAATATATACGGTTTTATGTAAAATTAACAGTGTATTAAATTCTTAAAAGTCTAACAATACAAACTTGAGAAAATCAGGATTACCTTGTAAATAGTGTGTGTGTGTGTGTGTGTGTGTGTGTGTGTGTGTGTGTGTGTGTGTGTGTGTGTGTGTGTGTGTGTGTGTGTGTGGTGTGTGTGTGTGTGTGTGTGTGTGTGTGTGTGTGTGTGTGTGTGTGTGTGTGTGTGTGTGTGTGTGTGTGTGTGTGTGTGTGTGTGGTGTGTGTGTGTGGTGTGTGTGCAGTGTTTTCACAGGGAGTTGTGCAGAGTTGTATGGAGGTCACAAACTGCACTGTACAGCTTCAAATCTTCAGACAGAAATCCACCACGCAGGACACACATCAGTAAGACACCCAAACACACGTCTGTCTGTCTGTGTGTCTGTGTGTCTGTCTGTCTGTCTGTCTGTCTGTCTGTCTGTCTGTCTGTCTGTGTGTCTGTCTGTCTGTCTGTCTGTCTGTCTGTCTGTCTGTCTGTCTGTCTGTCTGTCTGTCTGTCTGTCTGTCTGTCTGTCTGTCTGTCTGTCTGTCCTGTCTGTCTGTCTGTCTGTCTGTGTGTCTGTGTGTCTGTCTGTCTGTCTGTCTGTCTGTCTGTCTGTCTGTCTGTCTGTCTGTCTGTCTGTCTGTCTGTCTGTCTGTCTGTCTGTCTGTCTGTCTCTCTGTCTGTCTGTCAGGTTTTACTTGTAATCCCCACAGTTATCATTGTATTTTATTCCTCCTACACCAATAATAAGGCTGTGTTCAAATAGTCCTTTTTGCTTAGGAGGTTTCCTTACTGAGTGAAATTATCAAGAATTGTTTTGACTATTATAATATATAAAATGCCACCGTGCTGTATAGGTAAACTTAGGAACAAAACATTGAGAGTTTACAAGTTTTGTACCAAGTGTTGGCAGAATTTATATTCCAATATCGACCATCAATGTCTTGATTAATTAACAAAGTTTCATGGAAAATGAACTGTTAGTGGATTCATGACCAAACACAAGTGTCTGTCAACAAATTAAATACATAAAATCTACTCGATGTGAATATTTCCTTAAAGCAATATCTAAAAGTGCTTTTTGGAACGACACTTTCCAGAAAACAGAGAACCTGGTACTTTTGTTTTTTATAAAGTTTAAATTATTGTCTTTTATTGTGATTGTAGTAATGTGTTTTTATTACATGTACAGCACTTTGGCTCGACCAAAAATCGCTTTTAAATCTACTATATAAATTAAACTTGATTTGATTTCAGAATGTCTTTTTCTACTGAAGTGATTTATTCTCATTTTGTATTTTCCTTTCCTCACAGAGAAGGCTAAGACTCAGCCTGCGGTGGACGTCTTTAAACTCCTGGAGCAAATCTTCTCTTACCGCAGGCCGGGATCAACGCCTCCTGCTGCTCAAGGTCAGCATTCAAGGAGTTGAGTAGAAAGCGAGGGGTGAGAAAGAAAAAAGCTTCAGTCATAGAAAACACTATCACATATTTATTTTATCTTGTCAACGAAGCAGAAAAAGCTGGTTTCGGATTTATACTGGATCATTTCTTCCAGTAGTGTAGAAATCAACGTTAAGAGGGTTTAGTTTCTGAACATTTGTACGAGTCACTTCTTTAAGACTTGTTCATGCATTATTTTTTACTACCTGTATTCCAGACATTGATGACATTACGTTTAGCTGAAGCTTTTATCCAAAGCGACTTATAATCAAAGCGATTTATTATGATGAGACAGATTCAACCCAGGCAAGATTCCTAAAACTGCATTTCTTTTAATGTTTTAAATTTAAACGTAATTAATTTCTCCATGACATTTATGAGAGGGACTGCTCGAAAGTAGGATATTTGGGATATCCATCGTAGCCAGGGTTTACGATCAGTTTTTGGGTGAGTTGTACTGAGGATCAAGTATCACAGCACCGACGGGTGAAAAATAGTGTTTAGGTAACACGGGGTGTTCAGGTAACACTTAAAGACTTTGTTATGGAACGCAAAGCAGAGTAGGGGGCTAGTACACCCTCCTGAGGGTCCGATTGTGGATGTCATGCGAGCATAACATGGTGAAAACAATCAGTCTAAATTAACAATCGGGACGGAAATGTTCGGATTTCCAAAGAGAGGTTCTGAGAATAAATTAAAAATCAAGAACCGAAATAATTGAACTATTCATATCTTAGACTGCACTGTAACTTTTATCTTTTAATGTTTATTTTATTAGCTTTTCTTTTTAATGACTGTTTTTAAATGCCTTTGTCTGAATGTCTTTCATTTTTGTAAAGCACCTTGAATTGCCTGGTGCTGAAAGGTGCTATATAAATAAACTTGCATCAGCTTCATATAATCCAAGGCTTTTGAATTACTACAACATATATATTTTTTTTAATCAGTCTGTATCTCGGCCATGTTAGATAAGGTTACAGTATGTACATTTTAGACAGGAACATATCGGAAAAGCACATTCAACTCCAAATAACATGTTAATGAGTTACTGAGTCAACACACTATTATTACCCTGAATCTGTCAAACATACTGCTTTGTTTCTGACATGTTTTTTCTATGTTTTCCCCCTTCTTCTTGCCCCTTTTATCTCATTGTGTTCCTCTTCTCCACTTCCCCGCAGCTCGACCTACCACACCTCCCACCACCACCTCAAATGTTCCTAATTGTTCAAAGAGAGAACCAGCAGTCTCTCTTGTTTCTTCTACTACCAAACAAGTTTCTGATGATCTTTCCAAAGTGACTGTTCCTGCTAGCAGCACAACATCTGCAGCATTAGCATCAAACACTTCTGCAATAGAAAGCCACACTTTGACTGAAGCAAAGGAAACTAAAGAGGAAACTGACTCAGTCCTGCTCTCATCAGCACACTCACAAGAGACGAACATGGAGACGTCATCTTCTTCAGCTCTTACTGTAGAAACCTCGATAGAAACTGCATTAAAATCAGTAGAGCCTGAAATATCTCCTGTCGAAACACTAGAAGTTAGAGCTGTGTTTGCAATAGATGCTCCAGCTGAAAAAGTGACAGACTCGGAGGTCTCATACAGTACCAAGGAAGAACTTATATCAGGAACAACAGAATCAGTAGAAATAATCAATTCTCCCGTGGAAACACTAGAAACTGGAGCTGCCGTTTCTGAAATGACTCAAAAAGTAGAAACTAACACCACAGACTTGGGTTTTGGTAACCTCTCACACACTGCTGAAGAAATACCTTTAATAGAAACAACAGAATCACCAATAGAAGCCAACCATGTTGCTTTGGAATCACTAGAAACTATACCTCATGTTGTTGAGGGTCCAGTAGAGCCTACAATAGACGTCACAGTACATCTAGCATCTCCAAATGTAGAAACCCAAAGCACAGACTCGGGTTCTGTTAACCTCTGGCACACAGATCAAGAAGAAACGTTAATAGAAACCACTCATTTTAATTTGGAAACAATAGATACTCAAGCTGCTGTAGGTTCAATAGAAACAACAATAGAGGACAAAGCAGACACAACAACTCAACAAATACAAATCCACTTTCCCGTAGAAACACTAGAAACTGAAGCTGCTGTTCTTGAGCATCCAGTACAGAGTTCAATAGATGTCACAGTACATGCTGTAGAAACCAAAAGCACAGACTCAGGAGTCTCATCCAGCACCAAAGAAGAACCTTTAATAGAAACAATAGAACCAGTAGCAGCCATACATGTCCCATTGGAACCAATAGAAACTAAAACTGCTGATGCTGAAGGGTCAGTAGAAACTACTCTGGAAATGCAAACCAACAGCACAGACTTGGGTCTTGTTAATCTCTCACACACTACCAAGGAAGAACCTTTAATAGAAACAATGGAAGCCCACAATCTTTCATTTGTAACACTCGAAACTGAAGCTGCTGTTTCAGAACATCCAGTCGAAACTACAGTAGATGTCACAGCACAAGTAGAGGACCTAAAAGTAGAAACCCAAAGCACAGACTCTGGTCTTGATGACCTCTCGTACACTGCCAAAGAAGAAGCATTAATAGAAAGGACAGTAGAGACCAGTACCTCTGCTTTTTCTGAAGGTCCAATTGAGCCCACAATAGAAACTGAAGAAGCTGGAAACCTCTCACATGCTGCCTTAATCCTAAATGCACAAGACACCTTGCCTTTGAATAATGAATCGAATGTAGAATCATGCTTGGTGAATGTAGACGAGGCTCTGATAGCGTCTTTAAAAAACAAAGAGCACATCCCAACAACATTTTTCGTCGAAGGAGAACTGCTGAAGGAGATTGGAGCGAATGACAAAGCTGCTGTGACAGAAACGGAGAATTTAAGCGACGACGAGCGAGACGTTTTAACCCAAGTTCCTTCCTCTTTTTCGGAGGATCTTCATGGGTTAAAAGGAACTAGTGGCATGTTAGTGAAGGAGCTTCTCTGTCATGTTCCTGCTGAGCTTTCCAAAACTCCTGAAGCAAAAGGAGAGCACACAGAGGAGGAAGAAGCCATGACGCTGGAATCGATAACTTTATCAAAAGTCATGGAGGGATTCGGAGGTCTTGAAGCTCTGTTAGAAACAAGGAATGCACTGGAGGAACAAGCTGAGGTACTCGCCAAAGAGGAGGAGATGAGAGTTGAGACCACACAAGAGGACGTTGTTGTTTACGAGGACACGTCAGAGGAACACATTTTAACGCTGGATTCTATCTCTGAAGCTACAGATGCAATAGAAGCTGAGACCGCTGTCATGCTGGAGGCCATACTTGGTCTTAAACAAGCAGCGAGGCAGCAGGAAGAACGGCAAAATGGTGAATCTATTGTCCAGGAAGCAGAAAAGGAGTCCGTAGGGCAGCAAGCGAGCGTGTTGGACGCTATGGCTGAAGTTGAGGCGTCTCTGGAAACGCTGGAGAACGAGTCTCTGAGCGAAACCACCGATCATCTGGAGATAGAAGCTGATTGTGGAGAGGTGGAGGATATGGAGGCGACTGAGACTCTGAAGATGTCTGAAGATCTGCAGATAGATGTCCTGACGGAGGAGCGGTTCATTTCTGTTTCTGGACACGAGGAAGGAGTAGGCCCTGTTGGTCAGGAGGTCATAAGAGCGGATATTTTGGAGGGTAAGTTCGACTCCTGAAGTTGTAGAGGAACAGGTAGAAGCAAATGAAAAGGGGAGTAGTAAGAAGATACTAGAGATGCAACGATGAATCTGCTGAACGTTGGAAAAGGCGGTTTTTTGACGTGTTTTATTATCATTTCTGCATGACTGTTTGTGTAAGGATTTTACAACCTAGATAACAGCGAGTCATCTTCAAGGATTCAAGGCTTTTTGTCACGACCTTAACACAAACTGGAGAACCCAAATGCACGACCCAGAGACAGTCTTGAATGTAGCAAAACATTTCTTTTTAATTTCTAACAGAAAATCCCTTTTAACAGAGTAGGTACTGGATTAAACAAAAAGCGCTCACAAGGAGGAAAAAAGAAAAGGTAACAAAAAGAGAATTTAAGATGAACTTAAAGGTGGGGTAGGTAAGTTTGAGAAACCGGCTCGAGATACACTTTTTGTTATATTCCATGGAATGCTCTTAACATCCCGATAGCAATGAATATCTGAAAAATGTACCTACCCCACCTTTAAGTCTGCAAAAAATAACAAAATAACAAAACCTGACTAGACTGGAAATGATCCTCTCCTGGCTGAAGCCTGGCACGACCATCCATGGAAACAAACCAGACGAACTGACAGGGGGGAGACAGGACTATTTAAACATGAGGTGAGTGGGAACAGGTGGAAGGCAGACGCTGACAAGGGCGGGAAAAACACATGGGGAGGAAGTAAAAGGGCCTGAAATGAGAGACAAGAGGTAAGTACAAAATAAAACAGGAAATGGAAAATGAGACATGACAATAAACACAGAGACTGACTAGAGAGGAAATGACATAAATAGACAGACATGGCACATAAACATAACTAACTAATTTGAGGAGACACAACACTTTTATTGTCATTCGTACTTAGCTACAGTGTAGATATGTCAATGACAATCTGAGGTCCCAGGCTCCTCCAACAGAGCAACACAATGAAACGGATACAATAGTTAAAATAGTGCAAGTAAATACAAATAAAATAGGGTAGAATCTTGTGAGATTTGGCAGCTGTTTCCTCCTGATAGAAGTCTTTAAATGGTGTTCTTTGACTCCAAAAGACTCTGAGATGGACCCTTTAGAAATACATGTCTTGATTGGAAATGAGACACAACAGGTTTTTGTTAAGCTGTCAAAGAGATTTGGACTGAAACCAAATGAGATGCTTTGCCCTTATCTCTCCTCTCCATTGTTTTAACAAAACAGCTGCTGTAGTTACGGAAGATTTGAAGATGGAGGAGGAAACACACACTGGAGCCCTGAGTGATGAATACGCCTCAGGAACACATGCAGGTGAATACACTTAGAGAAACATGCAGACACAATCACAGCTATAGATCATTCAGAACAAATTACAGAATGTTTTTGGGATTCAACCACCCCATGTGGGTGCTGGAAAGGGTGTCAGATGCTGTGAGTCAATCAGACCCACATTGTTTGAAGCATACTGAGGCCTTCGCTGTATCAAAGTGTTTTATTTGCCTAACTTGACCTATTTCATGAATGTACTTAATTTGCTAAAACCATAAACTTTCTGTCTTTCATTTTTGTAAAGCACTTTGAATTGCCTTGTGTTGAAAGGTGCTGTATAAATGCTGTTGCCTTACTTTGATAATTTAATAATTTAACTAACTAATCATAATCTGGAGTTTTTCAGAATTGTATATTATTGTTTCGTTATAGTTTTGGGTTTTAAAGGTCACCTATTTAGGCAATAATATAGGTCTCAGATTGTCAGATATATATATATAAAAAACATGTCTATGAAGTGTTTTGCTCAAAATACCAAACAGATCACCCATTCTAGCCATGCCTCATATCCCTCTATTTCACTTCCTGTTTCAAAAGTGCTGATTTGGGGTATAAAGCTTTACAAAATAAAAAAATAGATACAAAAAATAAAAGAGGAGGGGTCTGAGCTCATGCGGGACCCGGCAGCTACTGTCTAAACTAAATGCTGCCGTGATGAAACGACATATCATGGATTATCAAGGATTCTCTCTGAAACAGTTTGGAGCTCAAAGGCTTTCTCTCTTGCCGGTTATACCACAAGGTGAGTTCCTTTTTACTTCCTGCTTCTTCACACACATGCTCTCCAGTACAGGTTAGCTCTGAGTGTTAGCGATGCTAATGTAAACACAGACCATATTACGTCCAAAACAGTGGGGCATTGTTTCTGATAGCAACGTTTCTGATTGGGCCGTGGGTCCACATTTTAGATATTACGTCATATCGGACGCAAATCTGGATCAGCTCCGTTGTTCCCCGTTTTTAGAGATTTGGGTACGGAGGAAAAGAGAGAGGGTTTTATTTCCTGACGCTGCGTGAGTTCCCCGACACACCGGGGACACATGTTGATGTATAACAGACATCAAGCAGTGGATTTTGCATGATAGGTCCCCTTTATTAATAGTATTGTTTTTATGTGTTTTTCAGATTTAGATCCGGTACAGAGACTTTTCCTTGAGAAGATCAGAGAATACAACAACATGCACAGGTAGATTGATTGATTGAAAATAAGCAAATACAAGTTAAATTTCCAATTGAAGATAAAACTAAATATAACATCGATATTCATATTAACATAAGAAGTTAGAAAATAAGTAAAATTGTATGGGCTCAGAACAGTCTCATAATACACACATGCACACAGAAGGATTCAAACTTGTATTTCCGGATCCATACTTGTGTTTTTCAATGCACACACAAATGTATTCCGTTTCATATACATGTAAATAAAATCCAAATACAGAAAAAAGTTTTATATATGTATTTTTGATCCTCACTTATTAGTTTCCCGTTTGAATCCTCTGAACCTGCAAACACAAACAGCTTTCTGTGCACGGATCGCTTTGCATTCGTGTGTGGGTTTTTTGAGACTCCCCTGACGGTCAGCCGATTCGTACTTGTAATTGTTTCTATCTATAGCCAATCAGATGTCTCCTTCATTCTAAGCCAATCACATGAGCGCGCCCCCACGAGGGTAAGATTACTTCATATACGCATTTTGCGCAGGCCGGTCAGCTCGCTAAACAGAGGGCGGAGCATCAGGTGATTATGCAGAGCAGCGTGTCTCCATCAGACTCAGCAGCTGATCTGATCTCTCTCTTTCGTCCGGTTATACTTCACTCGCGTTTATGTCCATATCGATCAGATCCAGCTCTCCTGATCGGCCTTTATAGAGAGCACCGATCAAACTATTAAGAGTGAATATCGGCCGATAATGACCGGCGGGGCTCCCCCGCGTTAACAGGTCACTGTCTAGCACTGGCTTCGTAGTGCACTGATCGATTAGGCTAAACTAACCTGTAGCTGCTCCCTCCACACTCACAACAACTTCATACAGACATAAATAAAGCAGCTGTATTCGCCATACAGGAAACACACATTTAAAACGGTTTTGCCTGCCGTTTTTGTGTATACAAGCATTCATCAATGGTTCTGAAAGTGGCGCTGTACCTTAATAATATAAAGGCTTGTATTTGCGTGCATTTCCTGTTCGGAAAGTGGCGCTGTACTGAGAGTGGAGGGTGTCCTGAGATTAGCGCCTGCAGGCAGGCTCCATGGAGCTGTCAGCTCCGGACTGCGCAAAATGCGTACATGAAGCGCTACGTCATGAACGCAATAAATCTACCCTCGTGGGGGCACGCTCATGTGATTGGCTTAGAATTGAGGAGACATCTGATTGGCTATAGATAGAAATAATTACAAGTACGAATCGGGTGAGCGTCAGGGGAGTCTCAAAAAACCCACACACGAATGCACAGCGATCCGTGCACAGAAAGCTGTTTGTGTTTGCAGGTTCAGAGGTTTTAAACGGAAAACAAATAAGTGAGGATCAAAAATACATATGTAAAACCTTTTTCTGTATTTGGATTTTATTTACATGTATATGAAACGGAATACATTTGTGTGTGCATTGAAAAACACAAGTGCGGATCATGAAATACAAGTGTGAATCCTTCTGTGCGCATGTGTTTATTATGAGACTGTTCTGAGCCCATAAAATTGTGCACATGTAATAACATGTATAACATGTATGTTCCAATATAAACATTGGGGGAAATATCCAATAAGCTAACAAGGTGAGAAACAGATTAAGGACACACACACACACACACACACACACACACACACACACACACACACACACACACACACACACACACACACACACACACACACACACACACACACACACACACACACACACACACACACCACACACACACACACACACACACACACACACACACACACACACACACACACACTTGTACTGTTGTAATATATTCATCCTCATCCGTTTTGAAGTTATTTTGTATATATTGACTGTTGTGCCTCTTAATGTGTGTAAACAGTATGTGTCTATGTTTGATTATGTATGTGTATATAATATATATATATATAAGTGGGTGTATGTCGTTCCTTGGGATTGTAAGAAACAGCATTTCTATCTCCCTGTCTGTATCACACGAACAGAAGATTGACATTAAAGTTGATTTTGACTTTTTCCTCTTCCTCTCTACAGGCTGAATGAGGAAGATCCAGATTACGATAAACATCTTTCAGAAGAGAGAGCGAAGCTGCAGAGGTTTTACGGAGGAGGAGATCTGAACAGCTTCCCTCAGTTCAGCTTCAGCGGTGAGAGAGAGCCTCATTCACAGAGACAAATGTACTTTATGCACGAGATGTAGAGGTGTTGAAAATGTGTCAGTGTCAAGATATTCCAGAACATACTTAAATGTGTTTAAAGCGTTGATTGAACATAGCAGCTATTGTTTATGGCATGTAAATGTATTTTAATATCTTCTTCTTTCAGACAGAACATGCAACTCAAAGTGCTTCATGATAAAATATAAAACAACAAATACAATTTTACAGGACTAAAACTGACAAAAAGGTCATTTTAAAATAATTTTAAAATGAATAAATCCAAGTTAAAAGAATGAAATACCATAAATACAAATGCAAAGTATAGAAAATAACATTATAATTATAAAAGCTTAAAAACTAAGGCTATAGTATAACTCCAAATTAAAAGATCCATCCATCTTCTCCCGCTTATCCGTGGTCGGGTCGCCAAGGTATAGTTCCAGCAGAGAGCCCCAAACGTTCCTTTCCCCACATCAACCAGCTCTGACTGGGGGATCCCAAGGCGCTCCCAGGCCAGCGAAGAGATATAATCCCTCCACCTGGTCCTAGGTCTACCCCTCGGTCTCCTCCCAGCTGGACGTGCCTGGAACACCTCCCTAGGGAGGCGCCCAGGTGGCATCCTTACTAGGCGCCCGAACCACCTCAACTGGCTCCTTTCGACGCGAAGGAGGAGCGGTTCAACTCCGAGTCCCTCCCTGATGAACGAACTTCTCACCTTATCCCTAATGGAGACACCAGCCACCCTGCGGAGAAAACCCATCTCGGCCGCTTGTATCCGCGATCTCGTTCTTTTGGTCATGACCCATCCTTCATGACCATAGGTGAGGGGAGGAAGGGAAATGGCCCGGTAGACAGAGAGCTTTGCCTTCTGGCTCAGCTCCCTTTTCGTCACAACGGTGCGGTAAAGCGACTGCAGTACCGCTCCCGCTGCTCCGATTCTCCGGCCCATCTCACGCTCCATTGTTCCCTCACTCGAGAACAAGACCCCGAGATACTTGAACTCCTTCACTTGGGGTAAGGACTCATTCCCTACTTGGAGTGGACAGTCCATCGGTTTCCTGCTGAGAACCATGACTTCAGATTTGGAGGTGCTGATCCTCATCCCAGCCGCTTCACACTCGGTTGCGAACTGATCCAGTGAGTGCTGAAGGTCGCAGACCGATGAAGCCATTAGAACCACATCATCTGCAAAAAGCAGTGGTGCAATCCTTAGTCCACCGAACTGCAGACCCCCTCCCCCATGACTACGCCTCGAAATCCTAACCATGAATATTACAAACAGGATTGGTGACAAAGCGCAGCCCTGGCGGAGGCCAACCCTCACCGGAAATGTGTCCGACTTACTGCCGAGGACCCGGACACAGCTCTCGCTTTGGGAGTACAGAGATTGGATGGCCCTGAGTAGAGACCCCCTCACCCCATACTCCCGCAGCACGTCCCACAGTAACTCCCTGGGAACTCGGTCATACGCCTTCTCCAAGTCTACAAAACACATGTAGACCGGATAAGCGTACTCCCAAGCCCCCTCCAGGATCCTTGCGAGAGTAAAAAGCTGATCCGTCGTTTCACGACCAGGACGGAATCCGCATTGTTCCTCCTCAATCTGAGGTCCGACAATCGGCCTGACCCTCCTTTCAAATTAAAAGAGATTACGTAAATAGGATTAGATGCTATAAACTACCTATAACATCTTTGAAATGCAGCAAAAAGAAAGCAAATGTACAATGATCTTAAACAACTCAACGTTTTTATAGATTTACAGCATTTAAAGTTAGTTATAGTCTTTTGGAGATAGTTTAGTTTTTTCGGAGGGATGTTCGATTAAACAAAACACATTTTCCAAGATATCACAATGACAAACGTTATGGCTGATAATACAATTACTTACTGAGATTATGAATTGTATTTCTTAATATGCATGTTTCACTGCAAGGACTCCTTAAAATATATACAGTGGTGAATATAAATGAATGTATCTTGAAAAGTATCTTAAATATTTTCTGCTGTTTTCTCTTTAGAGCCCGAAATGGACAAGGACTCCAAATGATCCACGACGTCTTCCTCCTACACTTCTTTAACGAACGTCTCTGACAGTTACCACATGTGAGAACAGATTTGAGGCTAGAAGAAGCACATGTTTGTTTGTGTGCCTTTAAAAGGATAATGTAATCTTGTTTGTCTGTACTGTGCAATAATGATAGTAACAAATGATATATTATATTTTATTAAAGCAACACTTTCAAAAGAGAACATGTTTTCTGATTCACAGGATGTGTGTGTGTGTGTGTGTGTGTGTGTGTGTGTGTGTGTGTGTGTGTGTGTGTGTGTGTATGTGTGTGGGTGTGTGTGGTGTGAGTGAATTGCAATGAACGTGTAGCATAAAACAGAAAAGGCCTGGATGAACAACAACACACACACATTTTTTCCATGATCTCACATGCATTTGGCTATATTTCATGTGTTGGCACACACACACACACACACACACACACACACACACACACACACACACACACACACACACACACACACACACACACACACACACACACACACACACACACACACACACACACACACACACACACACACACACACACACACACACACACACACACACACACACACACACACACACACACACACACACACACACACACACACACACACACACACACACACACACACACACACACACACACACACACACACACACACACACACACACACACAAATGGTGAGCTTAGCCACATAACAACATGCTATAAAATGCCATTTTAAAATATTTTATCATTTATTTTTCTCTTCTTTAGAGAGAAGACACATCTGAGTGGTAGATTCATTTGTATATATGATTCGGCATAGTTATTTAATAAGCCTATGTAATTCATACAGAACACAGCGCATACTAATCACCATCAAAGGCATGACTCACATAATACATATTTATTTATTTCCTGATGTATTTATGTACTCTCTTATTTTTTAACTGTTTATTTCAGCTTTATTTATTTCCAAAATGTCACTTTTATCACTGGATTTTCTTTTACTTTTTTATTATTTTTATATATTTTGTATGCATACATTAACTCATGCTTATTTATTATGTCTTTATTCTCATGGCATTCTCAGTCCTCCATAGATTGTAGTGTACAGTGTGTAGAATAGTAAGTGATATGATTATAGACACAATTGTGTTTAGGGCACTTTAACTGCTTTACTGAAGGCATATTGGTTTCGTATAAAATCAATATTTACTTACCTTTGTTGCAGTTCATCTGTACTGAACACATAATAAACTCCAAAGATTTAATCATTGACCTTATCACATGAGTGCAGCACCGCCGCACGCTTTTATCCAATCACAGTCGGAGCTTGAAGCGTATCTCGGCGCTGATTCGCCGAACCGCCTGTCCGTCATGTGTTTAGGGCGTTGCCTTTCTCGGCAGCTGTCAGATGCAGAGCTTCTCCTCTAAAACGGCCGAAAACACGGCAGGACAGATGAATATTGGACACTTGTGAACAAAAACAGTCTTTTAGAAACAAAGGTAAGCACTTAATTTCTTAACAAGTCGTTTTTAGTGATATATAAATGCCAGGTGTTGATGATAAAGCTTCTAACGGTTATTATTCCTGATGTTTTTAGCACCTAGCTAGTGCTAACGGTCACCTGGCAGTTACAATGGAGCAGTTGGATTTGTAGGCTGTTTATCGCATGGATATTAAGTGACGTAACATTGCCGTTAAATAATAAAATAGAGCATTACATGAACCGTTACTGAGCTAACTGTTTCGTTCAGCAAAGGGTTAGAAGGGGGGCACCATGAGACTGTTTATCATCCAGAAACACCCTTATTTACATTAAATATTAATATAATCTGCCTTGTTTTGGGCTCCCTGTAGTGGGAAGTAGGGCTTCACAATTAATCGAAATGTTGTCAAAGTCTCACCATGGACTATTTTTTAATTATATTGATATAGTGTTTAAAAAAGGAGAATTCAGCAGAGTATAAGGGGCACTATGAGAGACTGTTTACCTGGCAGAAACAGCCTATTTGACCGTATATATTAATATAATCTGCCTTTCTTTGGATTCCCTGTAGTGGGGAAGTGTTGTACAATTTATCGAAATGTATAATCATAATATGTTTCTGTTATATTGAGAATAAAGTGTTCCCTTTGTCACTTGTCATACCAATACTACACATATTTTATTGTATTCTATTTCTATAATTTATCTATATTCCATGTACATATTGCTATTGTTATAATAGTTGTATTAAAATAGATTTGTATCTTTATTTGTTGGTCCTTTTCTTACAGTGTAGCTTCTTTAACTGTGTTTATTGTATTTATGTATGCACCAAATACATCAAGGCAAATCCCTTGTATGTGTTAACCTTGCGTATTTTTGTATGCCGACCCGGAAGCGAGCATCTCCCTGGTTCCCTTGACAAAAAGCCAATGGGATTTTTCCATTGGCTTTTGGAATATTGCAGAAAATAAGCTTTGTGGCCAACACATGTTTATGATACTTACACATTTTGTTAAGCAGGAAAACCTCTTTGTGTTAACACTGTTTTTAGGAGCGTTGTACATCGCCACTCATTGTACATCCCTTGTTTCCTCCAGAGTGCTGATCCTCCCCAACCATCTAGCGGACCATCGGACCCCCATCATATCCTCATCATGGAGGCCGCCAACAGCTACGTGCTCATCCACGGGAAGAACATATCCCAAAATACCCTGGCAGGCTCTGCAGCCGGGCCCCACATGTCCATCGATAAGCTGTTCCCGGCTCTCCTCGAGTGCTTTGGCATCATATTGTGTGGCTACATAGCTGGCAGGTAGGCAAAAGCAGTTAACACAATCTCACAGTAAACACAATCTCACAATTTAAAGGGATTATTATAACGCCGATACCTTTAGTGAACAGACTTGCAAGTGATAACTACAACAGTGTTTGTTTCTCTCTGTCACAAGACTTAAATCGCACTTAATTCAAACTCAACACAAACAAAGTAAGTCTAGCGAAAGCCTTCCTGTCTTTCTACTGTTACGACAATCACCACCTTTGTTTTTGTCCACAAACAAACCCCTAATCCACCCAGTTAAATATGAAAATATACGACACGGAGTAGTCTTTCATAGTCTTTTAAGTTGGTGTCACATAATTAGCTAGCATTTCAAGTTTTTGCTATATGCTGGAATGACCAAATCAACATATAAATAGTTATCCGTGAACAACATCTGTGTGTTTATGGCTAATTCTTCCATTTGACCCTACAGGGCAGATATCATCACACAGAGCCAGGCGAAGGGTTTGGGGGCCTTTGTGTCTAAATTCGCTCTTCCAGCTCTGCTCTTTAAAAACATGGTGCTGCTGGACTTTGGAGACGTCATCTGGGCGTTTCTATGGAGCGTCCTGGTCGCTAAGGTTGGTGTCTGACTGTCTGTTTATGTATCTTATTTAATTCACTTAATTAAAAAAATAGCAACCTGTATTCAAGGTCATACAATAAGGCATGTTTTGTTTTCTTTACACTGCCTGTAAATACATACATAGTACATGTAGTGACAAACCAATAACAAGTACACAATATATGTTTTTACTTTCTTTGTTATATCATGGTGTAGGATTTTAAGAAGTCATGTGATTATAACCTACATTTGAGGCTCCTCTCCTGCAACCTAATTTAATTTGTTTTTGTTTCATTGGACTTTTATGTATTTTATTGTTATATTAAGTATGTTGCAGTGTTGGAGAAGCATGCGATTTAAGATTTCCATAGCCCAAACAATTCTGTAGCTGTTGTGTGTATAAACAATAAAGCCTTTGAATGTTTGCATGCTGTGTGTAGGTGACGGTGTTTGCGCTGGTGTGTGTTCTGACTCTGATGGTGGCCAGTCCAGAGTGCAGATACAGCAAGGCGGGTCTATACGCCATCTTTGCTACGCAGAGCAATGACTTCGCCTTAGGATACCCCATAGGTGAGGAAGACACTGATGCTTTCTACTCAAATGCTCTTGAAAATACAGTTTTTAAAGGTCCCCTATCATACAGTTTTTCATCAATATATCACAGGTGTCAGATATATCCAGAGCATGTCTCTGATTGGCTGAAACACCAAGCAGATCATTGCAGCATTACCCATAATCCCCTCTGTTTCAGCCCTGTTTCCAAAGTGCTGATTCTCTGTCTGTTACTTTAGATGAAAATAAGGAGCCCCTCCCCACGCCCCTCTGAGAGACATTTGGTTACAAAGAACTCAATGGTGCTCTAGAGGAGATTCAGGTGATAAGGTGGGGGGGGGGGTTACCTTGGTTGCTGATTGGCTAATGGTTACTCAAGCCAAAATATCGTTATGACATCATAAAGTGGCCAAAATCTGATCAGCTCATTTTCAGACAGGTTTTTATAGAAATGGATCAAAAAGAGAGAGAATCTTTGTTCCTGAAACTTTCAGAGTCTCTTTACATTACATTGCATTTAGCTGTCGCTTTTATCCAAAGAGACTTACAATAAGTGCGTTCGACCAACAAAATACAAAATTGAAGAAAACAGAATCATATAAGTACATCGGGTTTCATAGAGCAAAAACATTTCAAGTGCTACTCAACTGGCTTTAGATAAGCCAGTCCTTTATTAGTATATAAGTGCTTTGTTAATAGTTCTATTGCTCGAGGTGGAGTCGAAAGAGATGAGTTTTCAGTCTGCGCCGGAAGATGTGCAAGCTATCTGCTGTCCTGATGTCAATGGGGAGCTCATTCCACCATCCTGGAGCCAGGATAGCAAACCCACGTGTTTCTGCTGATGGGAACTTGGGTCCCTCTCGCAGTGCGGGTGCAGCGAGCTGTTTGGCTGATGCAGAGCGTAGTGCACGCGCTGGGGTGTACGGTTTAACCATGTCCTGGATGTAGAAAGGGCCAGATCCATTCACAGCATGGTACGCAAGTACCATTGTCTTGAAGTGGATTCTAGCAGTTACCGGAAGCCAGTGAAGGGAGCGGAGGAGCGGAGTGGTGTGGGAACATTTAGGAAGGTTGAAGACCAGACGAGCCGCTGCATTCTGGATGAGCTGCAGAGGTCGGATGGCACATGCAGGTAGACCAGCCAGGAGGGAGTTGCAGTAGTCTAGGCGTGAGATGACGAGAGCCTGGACCAGAACCTGAGTCGCTTTCTGTGTCAGCTGGGGACGTATCTTCCTGATGTTGTAAAGCGTGTATCTGCAGCAGCGGGTTGTAGCAGCGATGTTTGCAGTGAAGGACAGGTTGTTATCTAGGGTCACACCCAGATTCCTTGCAGTCTGAGTCGGGGAAACAACAGAGGTGTCGATGTTGATTGTTAGGTCAAGAGTGGGACAATCTTTTCCCGGGAGGAAGAGCAGCTCAGTCTTGTCAAGGTTGAGCTTGAGGTGGTGAGCAGACATCCACTGAGAGATGTCAGCTAGACAAGCAGAGATGCGTGCGACGACCTGGGTCTCTGAGCGGGGGAAAGGACAGAATTAATTGGGTGTCGTCAGCGTAGCAGTGGTATGAAAAACCATGCGGGCTAATGACTGATCCGAGCGAGTTTGTGTACAAGGAGAAGAGGAGGGAACCGAGAACAGAGCCCTGAGGGACCCCTGTAGTTAATTAACAAGGTTCGGACTCCGACCCTCTCCAAGTAACCCTGTAGGTACGGTCTTTCAGGTATGAGGTGAGGAGGGAAAGTGCAGAGCCTGAAACTCCAAGTTCTTGGAGAGTGCGAAGGAGGATCTGATGATTCACCGTGTCGAATGCAGCAGACAGGTCCAACAGGATGATGACAGAGGAGAGGGAGGCTGCTTTAGCTGTGTGCAGTTCCTCAGTGACAGCAAGGAGAGCAGTTTCTGTGGAGTGACCTGCCTTGAAACCAGACTGGTGCGGATCCAGAAGGTTGTTCTGATGGAGATAACAGGAGAGTTGTTTAAAGACAGCGCGTTCAAGTGATTTAGACAGGAACGGGAGGAGAGAGACAGGCCTGTAGTTTATAACATCAGACGGGTTGAGAGTGGGTTTCTTTAGGAGAGGGTTTACTCTTGCCTCCTTGAGACTGTTTGGAAAGTGACCAGAAGTTAGAGAAGTGTTGATGAAATGGGTGAGAAATGGTAGAATATCAGGAGCGATAGTCTGAAGGAGGTGTGAGGGGATAGGGTCCAGAGGACAGGTGGTAGCGTCCTACCACCTGTCCTCTGGACCCTATCCCCTCACACCTCCTTCAGAGGTAGAGGTAATGAGGGTAAGAACCTCACTTGGAGAGAGAGAGGGGAAAAGGAGGTCAGTGTGTGGTGGAAGGAGGGTCTGGTGACCCAGCGGTGAGTAAAGGTGAGTCAGAAAAAGAAGAGCGAATATCATCAACCTTTTTTTCAAAGTGGGTAACAAAGTCTCTTGACAGAAGTGAGGAGGGGGGAGGGGCTTCGGGAGGGTCCAAGAGGGTGGAGAAGATGGAAAATAGTTTTTTGGGATTGGAATAGGAAGATTGGATCTTATCTTGAAAGAAAGTGCTTTTTGCCTGAGAGATCGAAGCAGAGAAAGAGGAGAGGAGAGCCTGATAGGTTAAGAGGTCGTCACGGTGTTTGGATTTCCACCATTTCCGCTCTGCTGCCCGAAGGACGGTTCTATTAGCACGCAGTGCGTCATTTAGCCAGGGAGCAGAAGGGGACTGACGAGCCTGCCGAGATGTGAGAGGACAGAGAGAGTCCAGAGAGGATGAGAGAGTAGAGAGGAGAGTTTCTGCAGCAGAGTTTGGAAGTAGGAGTTGGAACGAGTCAGAGGAAGGGAGGGCTGAGAGAACCGATGAGGCAAAGGTAGAGGGGGAGAGGGAACGAAGGTTACGGCGGACAGGTGCAGGATGAGAAGAGATTAGTTTGTTATGTTTGGAAAGGGGTAGAGAGAATGAAATGAAGAAGTGATCGGATGTGTGGAGCGGGTTTACAGAGAGGTTAGAAGTAGAGCAGTTCCTTGAGAATATGAGATCAAGGACATTGCCAGCTTTATGAGTCGGTGGGGACGGAGACAGTGAGAAAGCAAAGGCGGTTAACAGAGATGTTAGTTCGTCTATCTTCCCTGTCTGGAGGTTGAAGTCTCCGAGAAGTACAGCGGGAGGGCCAGTTTCAGGGATGTGTGAGAGGAGATTATCTAATTCCTCCAAGAAGTCCCCCAAGGCGCCTGGTGGACGGTAGAGAACAACAATGGTTAATTGTATAGGATGGGTTACTGTGACGGCATGGAATTCAAAGGTGGAAGGAGTGAAGTTAGGTAGCTTGAAGAGGGAAAAGCTCCATTTGGGAGAGAGCAGGAGACCAGTGCCACCTCCTCTGCCAGTGGGTCTGGGTGTATGGGAGAAGGAATATGCAGTGGAGAGAGCTGCTGGGGTGGATGTGTTGAATGGAGTAATCCACGTCTCAGTGAGAGCAAGGAAATCCAGGGACTGCAGGGAAGCGTAGCCAGAGATGAAGTCAGCCTTAGGAACAGCTGACTGGCAGTTCCACAGGCCACCTGAAACTAGATGTTGGATCTCAGTGGAGCATGTGGGATAGACGAGAGCAGGCCGGTTATATCGATTACGAGATACACGGGGCCAGTGATAATTGCGAGAAGACACATGAACAGGAATGGAGAAAATACACATGATTATAGCATGAGGGGATAAACAACCAAATAAAATAAAACACCAGCGATACTTAGCTCAATCAAAGTAGGATTTGCCTCCTCTTTGCCTCCCTCGTGACTCCCGCAGGACTCTAATGTCTTTGTCTGACGCTCCAGGAACGTGCTACTTAAAATGGACACCTGATTGCTGTGTTCTCACAGCTGTGGGGCCATGTCCCTTTAATTAGTTCACTCTCTGCAGCTGGTGGCCCTCAAAAGGAAATCTAGACTGGCTCCCTCCTGAGTTGTTATTGTCTTTTCAGTGGCCCAATGGTTTTACAATTACATTAAACCCTAAGTTATAAAGTTATGAGTTTAACCCTTAATACAGTTACACCTACTCAATAAAGCTCTTGGTATTCTACAAATGTTTAAATCAACTACAGAGCATTGATACACACACTGAAACAGAGAAGTCTAAAAACAGAATGTTACTCACACAATTCTAGAAGTCACCAGTTGTTATCCTGTCAAAATCGAGTTGCACACAGAGGGGACACATGTTGATGTAGAAGAGACATGAAGAAGAGGGGACACATGTTGATGAAGAAGAGACATGAAGAAGAGGGGACACATGTTGATGTAGAAGAGACATGAAGAAGAGGGGACACATGTTGATGTAGAAGAGACATGAAGAAGAGGGGACACATGTTGATGTAGAAGAGACATGAAGAAGAGGGGACACATGTTGATGTAGAAGAGACATGAAGAAGAGGGGACACATGTTGATGTAGAAGAGACATGAAGAAAAGGGGACACATGTTGATGTAGAAGAGACATGAAGAAGAGGGGACACATGTTGATGTAGAAGAGACATGAAGAAGAGGGGACACATGTTGATGTAGAAGAGACATGAAGAAGAGGGGACACATGTTGATGTAGAAGAGACGTGAAGAAGAGGGGACACATGTTGATGTAGAAGAGACATGAAGAAGAGGGGACACGTGTTGATGTAGAAGAGACATGGAGAAGAGGGGACACATGTTGATGTAGAAGAGACATGAAGAAGAGGGGACACATGTTGATGTAGAAGAGACATGAAGAAGAGGGGACACATGTTGATGTAGAAGAGACATGAAGAAGAGGGGACACATGTTGATGTAGAAGAGACATGAAGAAGAGGGGACACATGTTGATGTAGAAGAGACATGAAGAAGAGGGGACACATGTTGATGTAGAAGAGACATGAAGAAGAGGGGACACATGTTGATGTAGAAGAGACATGAAGAAGAGGGGACACATGTTGATGTAGAAGAGACATGAAGAAAAGGGGACACATGTTGATGTAGAAGAGACATGAAGAAGAGGGGACACGTGTTGATGTAGAAGAGACATGAAGAAGAGGGGACACGTGTTGATGTAGAAGAGACATGAAGAAGAGGGGACACATGGTGATGTAGAAGAGACATGAAGAAGAGGGGACACATGTTGATGTAGAAGAGACATGAAGAAGAGGGGACACATGTTGATGTAGAAGAGACATGAAGAAGAGGGGACACATGTTGATGTAGAAGAGACATGAAGAAGAGGGGACACATGTTGATGTAGAAGAGACATGAAGAAAAGGGGACACATGTTGATGTAGAAGAGACATGAAGAAGAGGGGACACATGTTGATGTAGAAGAGACATGAAGAAGAGGGGACACATGGTGATGTAGAAGAGACATGAAGAAGAGGGGACACATGTTGATGTAGAAGAGACATGAAGAAGAGGGGACACATGGTGATGTAGAAGAGACATGAAGAAGAGGGGACACATGTTGATGTAGAAGAGACATGAAGAAGAGGGGACACATGTTGATGGAGAGACATGAAGAAGAGGGGACACATGTTGATGAAGAAGAGACATGAGGAAGAGGGGACACATGTTGATGTAGAAGAGACATGAAGAAGAGGGGACACATGTTGATGTGGAAGAGACATGAAGGAGAGGGGACACATGTTGATGTAGAAGAGACATGGAGAAGAGGGGACACATGTTGATGTAGAAGAGACATGAAGAAAAGGGGACACATGTTGATGTAGAAGAGACATGAAGAAGAGGGGACACATGGTGATGTAGAAGAGACATGAAGAAGAGGGGACACATGTTAATGTAGAAGAGACATGAAGAAGAGGGGACACATGTTGATGTAGAAGAGACATGAAGAAGAGGGGACACATGTTGATGTAGAAGAGACATGAAGAAGAGGGGACACATGTTGATGTAGAAGAGACATGAAGAAGAGGGGACACATGTTGATGTAGAAGAGACATGGAGAAGAGGGGACACATGTTGATGTAGAAGAGACATGAATAAGAGGGGACACATGTTGATGTAGAAGAGACATGAATAAGAGGGGACACATGTTGATGTAGAAGAGACATGAATAAGAGGGGACACATGTTGATGTAGAAGAGACATGAAGAAGAGGGGACACATGTTGATGTAGAAGAGACATGAAGAAGAGGGGACACATGTTGATGTAGAAGAGACATGAATAAGAGGGGACACATGTTGATGTAGAAGAGACATGAAGAAGAGGGGACACATGTTGATGTAGAAGAGACATGAAGAAGAGGGGACACATGTTGATGTAGAAGAGACATGAAGAAGAGGGACCATGTGATGAGAAGAGACTGAGAGAGGACACATGTTGATGAAGAAGAGACATGAGGAAGAGGGGACACATGTTGATGTAGAAGAGACATGAAGAAGAGGGGACACATGTTGATGTAGAAGAGACATGAAGAAGAGGGGACACATGTTGATGTAGAAGAGACATGAAGAAGAGGGGACACATGTTGATGTAGAAGAGACATGAAGAAGAGGGGACACATGTTGATGTGGAAGAGACATGAAGAAGAGGGGACACATGTTGATGTAGAAGAGACATGAAGAAGAGGGGACACATGTTGATGTAGAGGAGACATGAAGAAGAGGGGACACATGTTGATGTAGAAGAGACATGAAGAAGAGGGGACACATGATGATGTAGAAGAGACATGAAGAAGAGGGGACACATGTTGATGTAGAATAGACATGAAGAAGAGGGGACACATGTTGATGTAGAAGAGACATGAAGAGGGGACACATGTTGATGTAGAAGAGACATGAAGAAGAGGGGACACATGTTGATGTAGAAGAGACATGAAGAAGAGGGGACACATGTTGATGAAGAAGAGACATGAGGAAGAGGGGACACATGTTGATGTAGAAGAGACATGAAGAAGAGGGGACACTTGTTGATGAAGAAGAGACATGAGGAAGAGGGGACACATGTTGATGTAGAAGAGACATGAAGAAGAGGGGACACATGTTGATGTAGAAGAGACATGAAGAAGAGGGGACACATGGTGATGTAGAAGAGACATGAAGAAGAGGGGACACATGGTGATGTAGAAGAGACATGAACAAGTGGATTTTGCACAATAGGTGAGCTTTCAAGTCTCCTTTTCTCTGTGTTTCTAGTTGATGCTTTGTATCGGAGCACTTATCCAGAGTACCTGCAGTACATCTATCTGGTTGCCCCGGTTTCTCTCATGCTGCTCAATCCCATCGGCTTCGCTCTGTGTGAGGTGCAGAAGTGGAAGCAGACCAACCATTCACACAGCACTAAGCGCATCGTGGGAGTCGTAGTCCTACAGGTAATGTGTGTGAACAGTGGTGCAGTGATGTTGTAGGCTGTAAGCTAGCATCGTAAGGGTTTCTTTGGACAGTCGGCATTTGAAGTTCTGAATATTGCTGAATATAAGTTTAGCAAACACATGTTTATGAAAGTACAGGTTTTGTTAAGCTGAACCTTCTCCACATATTAACACTCCTTTATGATTTTTGAAGTCAAAAGTTAACGTTAGGCTATAAAGGAACTATAGCACGGTCACTTGACTTGACTTCACCACCGCTAATGTTGGGCGTGATGACGTTTAGTTTAATTTAGACACTTGTTTGAGATCGACCCTATTTCAGGCTAACAACCAAAAACTGAATTACAAAAACTAGTTAGACAAAGTTACACCTAAAGATTTTACCCACCATTTTTTGTGGTCCTTCTGAAGTATGGCCGTATATATTCTGAAGATGCTATGGAACTTAATTTGAGTCAGATCATTTTCATTTTGGAACAATCTAACACTCATATACTTACTTATGGTTTATTCATTGCCAGTTTTGTGTTTATCTTTGTTAAGCCTGCTATAATCTTGTGTTCATCCGCCTTCTTTTCCCTAACTTTTAATGTATTTGAAGTGTTGTTGAATGTATGCCTTTTTGTTTTTATGTAAGTTGATCACTCCCTCTCTCTGCCCCCCCTGCAGGTGATGAAGAACCCAATAGTGTTCATGGTGATAATAGGGATCCTCTCCCACTTTGCACTCGGCCAGCAGATCCCCGCCGTGCTCTCTCAGTTCATCGACGGCCTGGCCAACTCTTTTGGAGGAGCGGCTCTGTTTTACCTCGGCCTCACTATGGTAGTTTCTTTTGGTTGATCACATTACATTTTGATTGACTACTGTAAAGTCAGCAGTAGTTTTTTTTAGCTAAGTGTAATTTGAATGACCTTGGATGAGATTTCAACAATGTTGACCCCTTTTGTTAATGCAAAGGGTAATACATTTTTTGTATGAACCAAAACTCTGGGTTTCCGGTCCTACGACGCTGGTTCTCTTTTTAGCGGGCTAGATCTCCATGGTAACTTATGCTGAGCGGCTAGCCTGCTCCGGAGCAGGTTAGGTTCCAGGCTAAGAGATCAACTTAGTGAAAGCACCGCCTGCTGACCAATCAGAGCTCAGTGTGCGGAGTTTAAAGCGATCAAGTCATATTACAGGAGAAAGGAAATACAGAAAAGCTGCCGTTGCAGGAAAGACAGAAATCCCCGACTGTGTGAACGTGAACATTAATAGAATGTCACCTCCATCTTCAGAGCAATCTGACTATTATAACATTAGCGTTAAGAAAGCTTACTTGAATATCTGCCACAACATAAGTAACCGGATCAGAGTAACATTAAGTACAGTCCGCGGCATATCACTTCATAATGTATCATATATTTCCTGATCTGAGTCAGCTGAGCCGTATCTGGCCGTGCAACACTCACAGTGTCACATACTGTATGCAGAAGGATTATTTTAAGCAACACATTAAGTTGACGAAACACTCGAGTCAAATGTAATTAAAGTCAGATCGTGTCTTAGACGGGGCAGTGATATCATAAACCTGTTAATGTACGCATTCAAACACTTGTTCTGTTACCAGCTGTATTCACCTTGCAGGTGCAGCTCTGTGGCTTTGATCCTGGATCAAGTGTTTAAGTCATGGATGTTTAAAGTTTAACTTCTTCATATGTCTAATATTATAGTTCACTTTTCATTCTGGAAGTATGACCCTGCGTTGTCAGTACGCTTCTCCATGTTTGTGATTGGTCAAATGTTGCTAGCCCCGCCCCTTTTATGTGTGCACCTAACTAGAAAGGGCAAAGCTGGCTCGAGTTAACGAGTTGATAACCAGCGTCGTAGGACCGCTTAGCGAGAGCGCGTTTGTTTTGGATTAGGTAAACCGGGTAACTCAAACATATCCAGGTTATGTTGAACCGGCTTCGTAGTACAGGCCTCTGGAGTAAAGTGTGCAGAGCCTACCTATGATGCTGTATTTCTGTTTGTCGTTCAAGGTTTCAAGGCTTTTATTAGTCATACGAACATAGCTACAGTGTAGTTATGACGATGAAAATCTTAGGTCACAGACTCCTCCAACAGAGCAACACAATTAAACAGATACACAAAAAGAAGTAAATAGTAAATACAAAAGGAAAAATAGTAAAAAAAAAATGAAATAATGATTGGAATGATATATTAGATAAATAATTCCTAAGTAGCAGCCAGATTAATGTTATGATGTTGTTTGAAGTGTAGGTGTTTAATAGTCTGTGGGATGAAACTGTCCCTGCCTTTCACCCATGTAAATGTTATAATCTGCATCATTTCCATTTCAGCATCAGTTAGTAATTTCTCTTTGTCTCTCGCAGGTCGGCCAGCTTAGGAAACTCACCAGAGACACCGGAGTCGCCTTGATTCTCCTCATCACAGCCAAACTGTAAGCAGGACTGGGATTGGGTTAATGTGTGATTTGAATGTGGGGGTGGCTTTAATTGCAGTACACCGGATAATCAAAAGTGTTAAAGTATAGCGAGGCAATGTTCGCTGGAACCGCTCAATATAGTGTATTTCTGCCCAGTGCAATGACACCACCAACTACGGCTTTAAAAAAAATATTTCCATTTTTATAAGCTTCATAAAGGGACTATTTCTTGCACAAGTGGTGTGCCACAATATTTCCATACACCCCTAAGTTACCCTCAATAACTATGACTGCCTTAACAGCTGGTCTTTGATGAAGTTGTATATGTTTGTGTGTGTCTCTCTGCAGCCTGGTGATGCCTCTGGTGTGTAAAGACATGGTGGATATTCTGGATGTTGGAGTGAACAGCACCAGCTCCAATCACACCAGTCTGTCTAACTTTGCTTTCCTGTATGGAGTCTTCCCAACGGCACCCAGTGTGGCCATCTATGCTGCACACTACAACCTCGAGCTAGAGGTGGTAAGTACTGTTGATGCTGTGATCAAACTTAAAACAGCAGTTAAATACACCGAGGCAATTCAAAGTGCTTCACATAGCAGGGTGTCCGCGGGGTCTTAAAAAGCATTACAAGTTGATAAATACATTTAGCGAAAATTAAGACTATTTTTTTTTTTTTTTTTTTTTTTTTAATATTTTTATTCACATGTAAAAAAAGAAAAAAAAGTGTAACAGTGCATTACAGCAATTAAGGCATTTTCATTTTTTCCCTCCCAAAAGAACCCTTACTCACTTTCCCTTAACCCCGCCCCATCCCAACCACCCCTCTCCCGGAGCACTGAGGCAACAGTACATCAATACAATACAAAATGATAGATACAATAATATACATATACATACATACATACATACTAACACATATCCAGGGATGTCACATGGGCTGCCTATGTGGTGGACAGGGGAGTAATCATATCAGAATTATAGACGGATAAATAAAGGGAGAATCCCTACAGCGACACCATATCAGGGGGAAGACGGTCTACATAGCTGATCAGTGGCCTCCAATGAGCGTAAAACTTATCTGAGGAACCCCGGAGAGTAAACTTAATTTTTTCCAACTTTAGAAGAGACATAGTATCACTCAGCCACATTTGAAAAGAGGGAGGTAAAGGAGATTTCCACAAAAGAAGGATTTTCCTACGAGCAATCAAGGAGGTAAAGGCGATGACATTGGTTTGAGTGTTTGTAATGTTGATTCCATCTGGGGGCCTACCGAAAACAGCTACATGAGGGGATGGAGAGATTTTTAGACCTACAATTTCAGAAATACATTCGAAGAAAGATTGCCAGAAGCTAGATAATTTAGGGCACGACCAGAACATGTGAGTCAGGTCGCAGGGGGCCTGGGAGCATCTATCACACCGGTCATCCAATCTATCTGGATAAATCCTGGAGAGCTTAGCCTTGCTATAATGTAGTCTATGGAGAACTTTAAACTGTATTAGGCTGAGTCTAGCGCAACTGGAGGATGAGTTAACGGCTCTCAGGGCCTTCTTCCAAAAGTCATCAGAGAAGGTGAACTGTAGTTCCTTTTCCCAATTAGTTCTAATCTTGTTAATGGCAGATTCATCAACCGGAGAAAAAAGATCATAAAAGTAAGAGACATGGCGCCTAGACAAAGTTCTTGCTCTAAGTACAAGATCCACTCCACTGGGAGGCAGGGATTGAGGGAATTGTGGAGAGTGGGTCTTAGCAAAATCCCTTAGTTGAAAGTATCTAAAGAAATCAGATCCTCTTAGATTAAAGGCAACCCGTAGTTGGTCAAAACTGGCAAACAGGCTATCAATGTATAACTCCCCTATGCAGCGGAGGCCTTCCCTCTTCAAGTGAGAAAATCGGGGGTCAATTGTGGCTGGTAAAAATAGATGGTTGTTACAGACAGGAGTTGCTTGAGGAAGAGTAAGCCAACCAAAGTGACGTCTAACTTGTGCCCAGATCTTTAAAGTGCCAATTACAACGGGGTTAGATGTGAATTGTGAGGGGGAAAGGGGCAGAGTGCTACACGCGAGGGCTTGAAGTGACGTGGATCGACATGAGTTGGCCTCCACAAGACACCAGTCACTCTGGGGTGAAGTGAACCAGAGCATGATCTTGTGTGTGTTTGTGGCCCAGTAGTAACCCATAAGGTTAGGTAAACCAAGCCCACCCAGGAACCTGTCCCTCTGCAGTAATGGTCTACTAGCTCTTGCATGTTTACCAGCCCAAATAAATGAGGAAATCATATTATCAATAGCAGTGAAAAAAGATTTAGGCAAAAAAATAGGTAGGCATTGGAACATGTATAGATATCTGGGCAGTACATTCATTTTTATTGTCTGAACTCTTCCTGCTAAAGAGAGTGCCAGATGGCCCCACCTCTGCAGGTCAGATTTGACTGTTGCCGTCAGGACAGTAAGATTTTGTTCCCGTAGCGCACTAAAAGACTGCGTGATTGCAATGCCCAGATATTTAAACCCTGAGTTGGATATTCTAAAAGGCAACGACAACGGAGGTAATTCTGTAGCCAATTGGTTGATAGGGAAACATTCACTCTTTTGGATGTTTAATTTGTATCCTGAAAATGAACCAAAAGTGGTCAAAAGTGAGAGAATGTGTGGAGTACTAGCTATAGGATCGCGCACATACAGAAGGAGGTCGTCAGCATATAACGAGACCCTGTGTTCGATATCCCCTCTCTGAATCCCCTTAATTCCTCTCTCTGCTTTTAGAGCAATCGACAATGGCTCGATAGCAATTGCAAATAGTAGTGGGGAGAGCGGACACCCCTGACGCGTCCCGCGAAAAAGAGGAAAGAATTTGGAGCGCTGGGTGTTCGTACATACAGAGGAGTGAGGAGAAGAGTACAGAAGTCTAACCCAGGAGACGAGGCCTGGACCAAAGCCCAGCTGTTGAAGGACAGAAAACAGATAGGCCCACTCAACCCTGTCGAAGGCCTTCTCAGCATCAAGAGATATGACAACCTCCGGTTCAGCAGGAGAAGGCGGGCTGTGGATGACGCTGAGAAGTCTTCGGACATTTGTGAAGGAGTGCCTCCCCCCTATGAATCCTGTCTGATCTTCCGAAATGATGGAGGGTATAATAGATTCCAACCGGCGAGCAAAAATCTTCGCAAGTATTTTCACATCTACAGACAGGAGCGAGATTGGGCGATATGATGCACAGCTCAACGGGTCCTTACCCTTCTTAAAGATCAGAGAGATAGAGGCTTGCATAAGGGTAGGCGGCAGTGAGCCTTGGACGTACGACGAATTAAACATATCTAATAATAATGGGGAAAGTTGATTTGAGAATTTTTTGTAGAATTCTACCGGGTATCCGTCAGGTCCCGGTGATTTGCCACTATTCATGGACTGTATTGCCTCTTTAATCTCAGCAAGCTGCAGGTTGGCATCTAGTGTCTGTTGGTCGTTAGTCGAAATCTTGGGCATATCCAATTTATCCAAAAATGTATGTAGCTGATCTTCGTTATCAGGGGATTCAGACGTGTAGAGACGAGAGTAGTAGGTTTTAAAGATGTTATTAATCTCTCCCGGGTCAGAAGTGAGAGAGCCCAACCCGTCCCGAATCTGGGTGATTTGGTTCGAGGCCACCCTAGCCTTTAGTTGGTGGGCCAGGAGACGGCCAGCTTTATCACCATGTTCATATATAGACCCTCGTGAGTGTAGAAGGAGTCGTTCAGCCTCTCTTGTTAGGAGAAGGTCAAGTTCTGTTTGGAGCCCCATCCGTTCTTTAGATAGATCAGGTGATTGAGTGGAAAATAGTTGGTTGTCTAGATTAATGATAGATTCTTCCAGTTCTCTTTGGCGTGCTCTACGAAGTTTATTAACATGAGACGTATGCGAGATGATCTTACCCCTAAGAAAAGCTTTAAGGGTTTCCCAGAGTAGGGACGCAGAGGTCTCTTCATTTTGGTTGGTCTCACAGAAGAATGCAATTGATTCCGAAATACACTCACAAAAGGCTGCATCAGAAAGTAAAAGAGGGTCAAGACGCCAGAATCTAAATTCCTTAGGCTTATGATCAAAGTGAAGGTCCAGGATCACAGTTGAATGATCTGATACAGTTATCGGTGAGTATTGAACGGAGACAATCGACGAAATAAATGTTTTATCAACAATAAAATAATCTATGCGAGAGTATGAACGATGTGCATGGGAAAAGAAAGAGTATTGCCTAGCCGAGGGGTGTAAAAATCTCCACGGGTCGACGTAGCCATAGTGGTCCATAAAAGCAGAGAGAGTCTGTGCCGTTTTAGAGGGCGCCACAGTTCTGGAACTAGATCTGTCTAGTGTTGGGTCTATAACACAATTCATATCTCCTCCCAGTATCAATAGATGGGAATTCAAATTGGGGATGGTGGAGAATAGCGATTTCACAAAATTATGATCATCCCAATTGGGAGCATACACAGAAACTAAGATGACCGGCTTCTGATAGAGAGTACCAGAAATGATGACATAACGTCCATTTGGATCTAAAATTGTATTAGTAGGGGTGAAATTTACTTTTTTCCGAATTAAAATGGCTGTGCCCCTTGTCTTTAGGTTAAATTGTGAATGAAACATTTGTCCAATCCACGGCCTATTCAGCTTTCGCTGATCAGATTTACAGAGATGTGTCTCTTGTATAAACATTATATCCGCCTTCAGGTTTTTAAGATGTGTCATAATCTTTGTGCGTTTCACCGAAGCATTCAACCCACCAGTGTTCAAAGAGAGTATCCTGACCGCCTGTCCACCACCAGTCCCTGTACCAGTTATATTAGCCATGACACTGCATACAGCATCGAAGGTGTAAGATCAGCCTTAGAACATCCACAACTAAAAATGGAGAGAACAGTGTACATAAAGATGACAAAAGAGAATGTAAATGAAACAGCTGCCTCAAACAAATGGAAACCTGTAGCCCCATCAAGATAAATGCCCCACCCTCTCCCGCCCTCTCCCTCCCATCCTCTACTCCCTCCCACCTCCTCCCATGCCCTAGACCCCCTCCCTCCCACCCCTGAGCTCCATCTGCCAATGAAATTGGCAATAACTTCCCTACCTGAATCATCTCTCCTTCTTCAAGGTGTCTCAGTACCCACATCATGCAGATACAACCTCCTTAGTAAGTGTAACAATTGTGAACAGCAAATGTTAACAAGAACATTGCAAAAGTGCAAGAACATCCCGGGTATAGTGTAAATACAAAAATGAAAACAATTAAATTAAATTAAAATAGATGTAAACATGTCACATCGTCTGCTGACTTGGCCGAGCAACGTTAGTTATAAAAGAAATGACGTCCCAACAGAACGACGGCTGTAAAGTGCCCAGAAACAATTGTGAACAGCATGAGTTAACAAGGACATTCGAAAAAGTGCAAAAAACACCCCGGGTATATAGTGTAAATATACAAATGTAATCATACAAAAAATAAATGTAGACAACATGTCGCATTGTGCGCTGTCATGGCTAGGTAACGTTAGATTATACAATCAATTGTGTCCCAACATAACGGTTGTAACGTACCCAGTCCACCATCAATGCAGCGCCAGCGCGGTTTAGCCTAGCCCAGCTTAGCTCAGCCACCACTAGCCTAGCACAACATCAGTGGTTAGTTAGCCGGCTCGCGTTCATAGCCAGCTGCAAAGGCTACAGCCTCCAGGGGCGAGGGGAACCTTTTCTTAGCCCCACTTCCAAGTGTGATCTGCAGGCGAGCAGGGAACAGAAGAGCCGGTCTGAGGCCTAGGTTGTACAGCTTTGACATGATGTCTCGGTATTTCGCCCGCTGTTCGAGAACCTCCTGTGTGAAGTCCTCGTAGATCTGCACTGGTGTCCCACGGTAGCGGAGATCCCCTCGTCTCTTGCGGGCCTCCCGGACAATCAGGTCCTTTACTTGGTAGCGATGCAGCCGCAATATCACAGGTCGCGGTCTCGTCCCTGGCTGCGGCCTAGCAGCCGGCGCTCTGTGTGCACGGTCCAGCTCGGGAGGGGATGAGAGAGTTTCATTGCCTAGTAGCTCCACCAAACATTCAGAAAAGAAGGTTGTAGGCCGGGGTCCCTCAATAGACTCAGGAAGTCCAATGATTCTAATGTTATTTCTGCGGCTCCGACCTTCCAGATCTGCGGTCTTCGCAGCTAGCTTAGCATTGCTATCTGCTAATACCGCACACTTCTCCTCGAGTATACGGAGTCGCTGATCTTGCAGATTGGCATTGGTCTCAAGAGAGTCTATCTGTTCCCCGTGTTCTGCTACTGTGGTCTGCGTTTGGTTCAGCTTCGCCTCCAGTACCGCAAAGGCAGCTTTGAAGTCAGCTGAAATGCTAGCTCTGTGCTCTTCAAGCAGGCTAATTATGCTAGCCATGTCCGCGCCAGCAACTTCACTTGCACTTGAGACAGCAGTTTCGGTCTTTTTTGCCTGTTTCGTCTCCGTTTTCAACGCAGGTTTCGGCATCACATCGGATTGTTCTGATTTATAGTCCAAATTATGTTCACACAATACGGGTTTAACTCAACTTCGGTGGTTTTAAATTAAATGTAGAAAGTAAAATCGTGGGAGAACGAGACAACGCAGCCCTCACATGTTCGTCCAACCGGAAGTCCCTTTTTGTCGAAAATTAAGACTATTAAACGGCATTTTCCAAGGTGTTCCATTTTGTCATTCTTTCCCTTCAGTTACTGCACATGTTGTGGTAAATTATTAAGATGTTATCTAATTTTGCTAACGAAAAAACACATTTTGATATTCCCCTCCTTTCCCTTTCCTCAGGTAACATCCGGGATGGTGATCAGTACGTTTCTGTCGGCTCCCATCATCTACGTGTCGGCATGGTTACTAACGATCCCTCTGATGGACCCCGCCCCCCTGGTGACTGAACTGCAAAACGTTAGCTTCAACATTAGCATCGTTAGCCTGCTAGCACTGGTGAGTGTGTTTGCTGAATCTAAAAATACGACTACTGTATGAATAAAAAAATGCAAAACATGTTTGTCAGACACACACACACACACACACACACACACACACACACACACACACACACACATGCATACATTCACATACCACACACACACACACACACACACACACACACACACATGCATACATTCACATACCACACACACACACACACACACACACACACACACACACACGCATACATACATACATTCACATACCACACACACACACACACACACACACACACACCCACACATACATTCACATACCATACACACACACACACACACACACACACATACATTCACATACCACACACACACACACACACACACACACACACACACACACACACACACACATACATACATACATTCACATACCACACACACACACACACACACACACACGCACACATACATACATACATACATACATACATACCACACACACACACACACACACACACACACACACACCCACACACACACACACACACACACATGTTCTGCTTCTTCCTGCACTGTATACTATTTGTTATTCGGTATGTTTGTGTTAGTAGTAAGCAGTAAGCTTAACAGTAAGCACATAATGAATAATGTGTGTGCCTGTGTCTCCCCTCAGGTGTGGACCATAGTGGTGATGTTGCTGAGCAGGAAGTTCAACAGACTCCCTCACCTCTTTGCCTTAAATCTCTTCCTCGCTCAGGTCAGTCACATCTCAAGTACTTTATAAACACAATATTGATATCAAGTCGTGTACAGCATGTGATGTTAAACAGAAATAACAATGGCTCCTCATATTCACTTGTGTACTCTCCTGTAGTTTTTGGTGTGTGTCAGTATGATCCTGTGGAACTTCTTGGCGACACAAGATGACAATCTGCTGGGAAAGATCCTCACCTTCAGTCTGCTCTACGGCTCTCTGTACAGCACCTACATCTGGACAGGTGAACAGAATACTATTTTAAGCTACATTCAACAATATTTAGCTATTTAGATATTAAACGGTTACCATCACAGATAATAAGAATCTCTTTTATTGCAAACCCCCTCACACACAAGCATGTACATACTTGCAAAACGCCCCACCCCTTAAAACACACAAACACTTGCAGACAGCTTGAAATGAGTTCCCAGGGATGTGGATGCTGTTTTCGTCACTAAGACTTCATACTCTTCATAATGCATGCATGTACACACTGGTGTTTTAAATGTTTTTTTTATTTTGATATTTTTTCAGGTTTAATCCCTCTGTGTCTCGCTCTGACAAACAGAAATGATCTGCTGAGACTCAGACCAGGAATCTTCATGGCTTTGGGTTGGGGGTAAGTCAAGACTCCTCACTACTTTTTATATAAATACTTATACACTTCAATTGGTTTGTAAAAGTGTACTTGTGCCACAGTTATTTACGTTGACTGAGATAAAAATATATTTGTGTGTGTGTGTGTGTGTGTGTGTGTGTGTGTGTGTGTGTGTGTGTGTGTGTGTGTGTGTGTGTGTGTGTGTGTGTGTGTGTGTGTGTGTGTGTGTGTGTGTGTGTGTGTGTGTGTGTGTGTGTGTGTGTGTGTGTGTGTGTGTGTGTGTGTGTGTGTGTGTGTGTGTGTGTGTGTGTGTGTGTGTGTGTGTGTGTGTGTGTGTGTGTGTGTGTGTGTGGTGTGTGTGTGTGTGTGTGTGTGTGTGTGTGTGTGTGTGTGTGTGTGTGTGTGTGTGTGTGTGTGTGTGTGTGTGTGTGTGTAGGGTTCCCTTCCTGATGGTGGGAGGTCTTCTGTTATTAGGAGAAAGGACTGATTCTATAGACTCTGCCTTCTTCTACGGTAGAGCTCAGGTTAGTTTGTTTTGACTTCTGTCTTCTCATTTCTTTCTGAAGAAAACATACTTTTATTAATCCCACAAAAGTTCTACTGTGAGTATATACAGTACAAGTACACACATTCAAACGGCACCAATACACTTTAGGTCATACATCCACACATGCAAAACCAGGAGGTCCCAGGAACTGGCACACCTTCAGCTACACATTTTGTATTTGTCTTGTCTATCATGTTTTATAATTGTTTGTGTGATAGACATGATGTTTTTAGTGTTTGTCGATTGTTACGTACCTGCCTCAGGACTGCAGATGCAAATGAGCTATTATCTATAATCTGGCATCTCTTCTCTTTTCTGAGATTAATGTATTTGTATGCAAGGTCCTTGTTGAAATAAATACATAATACTAGGACTTGAAACAGTGACCATCTGTTTCCCAAGCCAAGTCCCTACACCCTGAGATACTGACATAGTCCCTATTCAAATGTGTCAGGGAATCATTTGCCCTGCATGTCCTCCTTTGCCCTCTGACACATACCACACACACACACACACACACACACACACACACACACACACACGCTCACTAACTCACTCGCTCAGATGACTCCGAGCCATAAGCGACAACCAAAGTTGTGTCCCTCAGCTGTTTAGTCTAACTATTGAAGAATGTTGATTACCCTCAGCAAACTAGTTAACACCTCCTACCAGAGAGGAGAACCCTCAGAATTGATGGTGGCATCTCAACCGTGTGGTCAAACCGTGGCCCGTGACTTGTCTTGTACATCTTAACTTGTACTTATTGTGATGGAAACTTCTGAAGCAATGGAGAGTCAGGACTCAGAGAGACACGAGGAGAGCTGGAGCTTTGATGGCAAACACTGACGGTTTATTTGGAGTTACGAGTTGACACAACGGTTTCCAAACCAATTCTGAAGACCTCTTTCTGCTGCTCGAGGTTTTAACTAGTTCAGCTCTCGTCCATAGGAAAGAATGTGCGCCTACGTCCCTGAACAGTAAACGACCTCATGGCGGCTTGTGCTCGGTCATAGACTGGCAACAACAATGCGCCCAAGCTGCGCCTCCTTAAGAGATAGCAGCAATACCCAAGGCCGTAGACCTATGCTGTGGGAAAGGAGACAGTGAGAGGAGAAAATTATGAACTGGGTCGAAGGTTGAATACCTAAGCTAATGATTCCCCAACACTTATAATAAAGAAACTTAAGTCGTATGGGAAAGTCTCCTGAGAAAAGGAATTATTTTCATGAATGATTTAGTAGATAGCACAGGTAATTTAATTTCATATCAGTGTTTTCGCTGTATGTTTGGTCAGATATGTGATTTCCTTCACTTTAACCAACTGCTTTCAGCGATTCCAACTAACTGGAAACATAAATTAAAAAAAGATGGAAACCGACAACAGGTCTGTACACCTCACACAAGAAGTCAGAAATGGCTATCAAAAATGAAAATAAATAAAATAATTTATAATCACTGTTTACAGAGCAAGGGCCTTACTTCTTTTCCTCATGCGGTCTGTTCTTTCTGGGAAGAAGAATTTAATATTCTGATATACAAAACAACAATTGATTCCTATTCAAGAATCTTCCAACTGAAGATCTTTTACAAGATTATCGCTACAAAAAAACAACTCAACGCTTTTAATATCAAACCAATTTGTAGATTCTGTGAGGAGGAAGAGGAAGACCAGATGCACTTATTTTTTTATGACCATACGTTGCAAGACTGTGGACTGAGATTCAAAATTGGCTTAAGACACTTTATATTGATTTTGCATTTACTCCCTTTGGTCTTTTGTTTGGGCTTTTGGACGAGGACAATACACAGTTGATGAATACTTATTTTTAAAGCTCAATCAAGGGGAAATCTGAATTTAAGGTGTGTGAAAAGTAGGCAAGGCAAGTTTAGTTATATAGCACCTTTCAACACAAGGCAATTCAAAGTGCTTTACGAAAGACATTAAGAAAATGCATTTAAAATCAGTCATTAAAAAGAAAAGATAATAAAATAAACATTAAAAGAAAAAGTACATGGATAAAAGTTACAGTGCAGTTTAAGATGTGAACAGTTCAATTAAACATTAAAAGAAAAAGTACATGGATAAAAGTTACAGTGCAGTTTAAGATGTGAACAGTTCAATTAAAAGCAGCGACAAAAAGAAAAGTCTTTAGTCTGGATTTAAAAGTAGTCAGAGTTGCAGCGGACCTGCAGTTAAGTAGATTAAAAACACAATTTATTTTGGAAAGGATGATTGCCACAAAGAGTCAAAGGGTGGCTCAACACACCATGAAATCGGAAACAATCAGCTCGAGCGAAGAGTGGGATAAAAAGGAATAATAAATGCTTTTGATGATATTGGACTGTCAACTGTTTATGAAATGTTGAAGTGACCAACTGACTGTATTTTGTTGTTTTTGTCTGAGATAGGAATGTCTCTTGTTGTTATTGTAATGTCCATGTTTTGTGTCTGTAGCCTGTATAATAAAGACAAAAAATAAACGTAAGTAGTGCATGAAGTTGAATCCTGTCTTCTCTCCTCAGATAATCAGCTCCACGGTGGTGCTGGCGGTCAGCCTGCTGCTCGGAGCGATCTCTCTGATGGGGCTCAGCCAGGGGGAGAGGGAGCAGAGCGGCTACGAGGCCCTGAACAGAGCCGCTGTGACGGGCCTCAGCGAAGAGCCCAGGACCAACGGTGGCCTGGAAGATCCACAACAACAACAACAACAACAACAAGGGACGATTACCTCACCGGCCTACAGTTCCAACTCAGGTAAGACACATTCAAACATATTTATTTTTACTTAAACCGATATATTCCTGCACTTTAACTGTATCTGCATATTGAAGTATGAATGCTTGTTGTTTGTGTGTTGTCTTCTCCTGAATGTTGTACGTCTCTTGTGTGTTTTTTGTATTGGCACCTTATAAAAAGGAGTATGAAGGAGGGATTGGTTATTTTTGCGTCATTATAATCATTATAATAAATATATATTAAATGATAATGGTGGGATTTCTTAAGAGGGTCTGTACCAAACAAATATGTTTTGTAAAATGCAATTTATATGTCAGGGTACCTCTGCAGCACCGCAACAGTTAATTCAAAAACAAATATTGTGCATCGTGCTAATTGAAGTACTGCATTGGTCCATATTGTGGTTTTCGAATAATTGTGCAGGACAAACTTAAAAGATGTGTGTTGTCTTCTGTTGTGTTTTCAGAGCCCCACGGTTTCTCTCCTCTCCAGCCAATCCCTGACATGATAGCCAGCACGCAGACAGAGCTGTCCAACGGCACAGGTACAAAATATGAATAACAACAAATTCCTTGTAAACATATAAACATTTTCAAAGTGCAATAAAAGCTTTGCAGTCATTGGGAAGTATTCTTAAAAAAATCATGATGTGAGGATATTTTAAAGGTCCCCTATGATACTGTTTTTCATCAATATATTACAGGTCTCAGATATATCCAGAGCCTGTCTCTGATTGGCTGAAACACCAAACAGATCATTGCAGCATTACCCATAATCCCCTCTGTTTCAGCCCTGTTTCCAAAGTGCTGATTCTCTGTCTGTTACTTTAGATGAAAATAAGGAGCCCCTCCCCATGCCCCTCTGAGAGATATTTGGTTACAAAGAACTCAATAGTGCTCTAGGAGGAGATTCAGGTGATAAGGGGGGGGTTACCTTGGTTGCTGATTGGCTAATGGTTACACAAGACAAAACATCGTTATGACATCACAAAGCGGCCAAAATCTGATCATCTCATTTTCAGACAGGTTTTTATAGAAATGGATCAAAAAGAGAGAGAATCTTTGTTCCTGAAACTTTCAGAGTCTCTCTCCACAGAGGGGACACATGTTGATGTAGAAGAGACATGAAGAAGAGGGGACACATGTTGATGTAGAAGAGACATGAAGAAGAGGGGACACATGTTGATGTAGAAGAGACATGAAGAAGAGGGGACACATGTTGATGTAGAAGAGACATGAAGAAGAGGGGACACATGTTGATGTAGAAGAGACATGAAGAAGAGGGGACACATGTTGATGTAGAAGAGACATGAAGAAGAGGGACACATGTTGATGTAGAAGAGACATGGAGAAGAGGGGACACATGTTGATGTAGGAGAGACATGGAGAAGAGGGGACACATGTTGATGTAGAAGAGACATGGAGAAGAGGGGACACATGTTGATGTAGAAGAGACATGGAGAAGAGGGGACACATGTTGATGTAGAAGAGACATGGAGAGAGGGGACACATGTTGATGTAGAAGAGACATGAAGAAGAGGGGACACATGTTGATGTAGAAGAGACATGGAGAAGAGGGGACACATGTTGATGTAGAAGAGACATGGAGAAGAGGGGACACATGTTGATGTAGAAGAGACATGGAGAAGAGGGGACACATGTTGATGTAGAGAGACATGGAGAAGAGGGACACGTGTTGATGTAGAAGAGACATGAAGAAGAGGGGACACGTGTTGATGTAGAAGAGACATGAAGAAGAGGGGGACACGTGTTGATGTAGAAGAGACATGAAGAAGAGGGGACACATGTTGATGTAGAAGAGACATGAAGAAGAGGGGACACATGTTGATGTAGAAGAGACATGAAGAAGAGGGGGACACATGTTGATGTAGAAGAGACATGAAGAAGAGGGGACACATGTTGATGTAGAAGAGACATGAAGAAGAGGGGACACATGTGATGTAGAAGAGACATGAAGAAGAGGGGACACATGTTGATGTAGAAGAGACATGAAGAAGAGGGGACACATGCTGATGTAGAAGAGACATGAAGAAGAGGGGACACATGCTGATGTAGAAGAGACATGAAGAAGAGGGGACACATGTTGATGTAGAAGAGACATGAAGAAGAGGGGACACATGTTGATGTAGAAGAGACATGAAGAAGAGGGGACACATGCCGATGTAGAAGAGACATGAAGAAGAGGGGACACATGTTGATGTAGAAGAGACATGAAGAAGAGGGGACACATGCTGATGTAGAAGAGACATGAAGAAGAGGGGACACATGTTGATGTAGAAGAGACATGAAGAAGAGGGGACACATGTTGATGTAGAAGAGACATGAAGAAGAGGGGACACATGTTGATGTAGAAGAGACATGAAGAAGAGGGGACACATGTTGATGTAGAAGAGACATGAAGAAGAGGGGGACACATGTTGATGTAGAAGAGACATGAAGAAGAGGGGACACATGCTGATGTAGAAGAGGTAGAGGAGACATGAAGAAGAGGGGACACATGTTGATGTAGAAGAGACATGAAGAAGAGGGGACACATGTTGATGTAGAAGAGACATGAAGAAGAGGGGACACATGCTGATGTAGAAGAGACATGAGGAAGAGGGGACACATGTTGATGTAGAAGAGACATGAAGAAGAGGGGACACATGTTGATGTAGAAGAGACATGAAGAAGAGGGGACACATGTTGATGTAGAAGAGACATGAGGAAGAGGGGACACATGTTGATGGAGAAGAGACATGAACAAGTGGATTTTGCACAATAGGTGACCTTTAATTTATATGTTTCATTCCCTCTCCAGGCCACAGTGGGGCGCTGTTTGACGGGCTGCCGAGCTCCTCCTCTGAGCAGCCGCTGAACCTGCCCCCCCCCGGGCTGCAGCCCACTGACGACAAACAGACGGTCAGACACGCTCTGCTCTGCCTGCTGCTGTTCGTCAGCCTGCTAGCGGTGAGAAAACACAGTCATTTAAACCATGTTGGGAAAATCCTGAGTGTCCTCTTCCAACATGAGAGTCCACATGATAACAAAGGTATCCCAACTGTAGCTGTGAACATGACAGGATGTGTGATTACCTAGAAGAGCATCAGGACTGTTTGAGGCATATGATAGCTATGTGATTAACATGATGATTCAGCCTCTATGGAGAGAGACATCAAGCATGCTCATTTCTGACGTGGAGCTAATCTGAAGTAAACATTGAATACTGCTTTCTACTCCTCCATCTTGTGACTGTAACTCCCTCTCTTGGATATCAGCATGTGAAGGACACTGTTCAGGAACTAGTTGATGCTCTGTATGTGATGACTCCTTCCATTTGGAGAGGATCACAAACACATGGATCCTGAGGTTGAAGCCAGGATTTTGAAAAAAGTCAATTTTTGTTAGAAAAAGTCAGAATTTTGAGAGAAAAGTCAGGATTTTGAAAAAAGTCAGACATTTTGGATTTTGAGGGGAAAAAAGTCAGGATTTCGAAAAAAATGTTTTGAGAAAAAGTTACATTTTTGAGAAAAAGTCAATTTTTTTGAGAAAAATTCAACATTTTTTGAAAAAGTCAGAATTTTCAAAAAAAGTCAGATTTTTTTCAATTTTGAGAAAAACTCAGTATTTTGTTCAGGACAGGATGTATGATAATAAGAACCAGAACCTCCATCTTGTGACTGTGTAACTCCCTCTCTTGGATATCAGCATGTGAAGGACACTGTTCAGGAACTAGTTGATGCTCTGTATGTGATGACTACTTCCATTCTGGAGAGGATCACAGATACATGAGATTTTGAGAAAAAGGGAGAATTTTGAGAAAAAGTCAGGATTTGGAGATTTTGAGAAAAAGCCAGGATTTTGTACATGACAGGATGTATGATTCCCTAGAACAGTGCTTCTCAAAGTGTGGTCTGTGGACCACTGGTGGTCCGTGAGCGCCCCCTAGTGGTCCGTGAGTATATTGGTAACATTTGAAATAAATAAATACATTTAAGTTTTCCGCACTCCGAGCGAGCTTAAGTTTCACTTTCGATCGCATGATATAGCCCAGTGCAGCACCTTCGTCACATGTTGCCACTTGTTTGTACCATTTTCAGGCGATTTGTAATCTGTTCTAGAAAAACGATGTGTTTCTGGATATTTGTGGAGTTAGGTGGTCCTTGGTATGAAAAAGTTTGAGAAACATTGCCCTAGAAGAACCGGTATTCCTCCATCTTGTGACTGTGTAACTGATGACTACTTCCATTCTTGAGAGGATCATAAATATATAGATCCTGATATTGAAGCTCAAGCCGGTGACGAGTGATATTTTTCTAACAAACCGCAATACAGTGGTGCAGGAATGAGTCTTAATGCCAGTCAAAATGAGTTGTCTTCCTCTGTGTGTGTGTAGAATCTGTCCAGCTGTCTGTGGTGGCTGTTCAACAAAGATCCAGGAAGACTCTACCTGGAGCTGCAGTTCTTCTGTGCCGTGGCAAACTATGGACAGGTACCACTGAGTGTAGAGTGTCTGTGCGTTAAATATGTCAACATGACCTGATTTGAGCCCAAAAAACAACTATAACTAACATTCCTCTTCCTCTTTGTCTCAGGGCTTCCTGTCCTTTGGGATCTTCGGTCTGGACAGACATCTCATCATCCTGCCCTTCAAGAAGAAGTGAGTGTTAGAGCTATAAGGAGCTCAGAGCTAATGTATAGATTATCAGAATCCAATCCAACTTGATTTATATAGCACCTTTAAAAACAAGAGTTGACCAAAGTGCTGTACATCAATAATTATATATAAAAAGCAGCATAAATACATTTAGACAAAACCGATCGGACAAAACAAACTAATGTAAAAGCACGAGACAATAAAAACCCTACTTATAGCAACAGACTGAAAACCCTCATACATGAACGAAACGTTTTAAAACACAACTACATAGAAAACCCGAGTGTGTGTGTGTGTGTGTGACCTAGCATTACTATCCTTGTGGGGACCTACATCTGTTTACACAGTCACGTGTGGGGACTGGCTTCCCTTATGGGGACAAAATGGAGGTCCCCATGAGGGGAATCATTAATTTTAGGGTGAAGACTTGGTTAAGGTTAAGGGTTAGGATTAGGCATGTGTTGGTTATGGTTAAGGTTAGGATAAGTCTCCAGGAAATGCATGTAAGTCAATGTAATGTCCCCTGAAGTGATGTATACATGGTGTGTGTCAGGTTTCTGTGGCTGTGGCAGGGCAGGGAGGCGGAGGATTTGAGTCCCTCAGGTGTACCGGAGGAAGTCAGACTCACCTGTACGCAGTTTGTCCGATACCACAAAGACCAGTGTGTTCAGGACATAGTTCACACACGCAGGTAAGAGTGCTGCTCTGGGTTTTGTATTATGTGTCGTTCAGTGTGTGTGTTCTCTGTGGAAAGCATGTGCAAATATGTGGTGAAAAATGACATTCTTACTGCTTGTTGGATTCATTTTTCTGTCAATTGAGTGGCATTTGAGAAAATGAGCATGTTCTTTTGTATTCCTTGATTTTGTTCTCTTTTGGCTGTGTCCCTGCAACATGAATTGTGATTACTTTCCACAATGACTTTTCTCTGCATCCTCTTTGCATGTCATCCATCAGTTGATCTGTTTTGCTGCACTTACTGATGTTCTCTAACCACAAAGTAATGATCCTGTTCAAAACAAATTCAAGTTGATTACACATTCATACTGTATGTTGTAAATGTGTAATTTTGCAGAAATCTTACAATATTTTAAAGGGGCCCTATCACGCTTTTTGGGGTTTTCCCTATCCAGTAGTTATTTAGGTTTTTGAGACATGTCACAGGAGAGACACAATACTGATATACACCTGAACATCAGCAGGAGAGGACTCTTTAAAGTAGAGACACTACATACTGATATACACCTGAACATCAGCAGGAGAGGACTCTTTAAAGTAGAGACACTACATACTGATATACAACCTGAACATCAGCAGGAGAGGACTCTTTAAAGTAGAGACACTACATACTGATATGCACCTGAACATCAGCAGGAGAGGACTCTTTAAAGTAGAGACACTACATACTGATATACACCTGAACATCAGCAGGAGAGGACTCTTTAAAGTAGAGACACTACATACTGATATACACCTGAACATCAGCAGGAGAGGACTCTTTAAAGTAGAGACACTACATACTGATATACACCTGAACATCAGCAGGAGAGGACTCTTTAAAGTAGAGACACTACATACTGATATGCACCTGAACATCAGCAGGAGAGGACTCTTTAAAGTAGAGACACTACATACTGATATACACCTGAACATCAGCAGGAGAGGAGTCTTTAAAGTAGAGACACTACATACTGATATGCACCTGAACATCAGCAGGAGAGGACTCTTTAAAGTAGAGACACTACATACTGATATACACCTGAACATCAGCAGGAGAGGACTCTTTAAAGCAGAGACACTACATACTGATATACACCTGAACATCAGCAGGAGAGGACTCTTTAAAGTAGAGACACTACATACTGATATACACCTGAACATCAGCAGGAGAGGACTCTTTAAAGCAGAGACACTACATACTGATATACACCTGAACATCAGCAGGAGAGGACTCTTTAAAGTAGAGACACTACATATACACCTGAACATCAGTACAATAGGGCCCCTTTAAAAAAACACCTCTACTCACTAAAACATTGAGTTTCTGTTTGTTTTGACTCTTTTCTTTTATCGTAACATAAACGTCTACCCACTATTCTTTGCTGCTCTTTATTAACCGTATATACTTTCTTCCTTCCTGCTTCCCTTTGCCTGCCCTGTTTTTCCTTCCTTCTCTAAAAGAGGCTCAGGGGAAAGTGTGAGCGGCTCCACCGGTGAATCCTTCCTCTAATAATGACAGGTTTGAAGAACCACAGGAGGAAGGTGGGGCTTTGAGACATTCCCCCTCCCATCGTCCTCTTCATCAGGAGATTCCAGATGAAACCAGCGCCCAACTCGAGAGTAAAAACCAAGCACATGTTTCCATCTCTGAGGAGCAGATTCCCCCGTCTACTGACACAGATAATCCTCCCCTCCTACGCCAGCATGATCTCCATCTACACGCCACCATTGACAGTGCGTTTCGAGGCAGTGATTTAGTGGACTGGCTGGTTTCGAGGGGCTTGTGTTCGGAGAGGACGGACGCCATGTTGTACGGAGTTCGTCTCCAGCAGGGAGGAGTGTTGGATCGACAGCACAGATTCAGAGACGAGCCCTCGCTGATGTACCGCTTCACAGACGAGTAGGGGCTACATCATGTGAGAGGGAGCGAGAGGGCTGCACAATTTATTCAAAAGTGATCGTGATATGGACTAGTCGTGCGATATCAAATCAACATTTATTATAGCCCCAAATCACAAGAAATGTACAAATACAAACGTCATAGCATAAAAATGATAAAAACATTATACGACATGACACATCAACATAAGTCTTGCCATGTGACTGAAGTGATGGTAATAATAATGCATTTTATTTATATAGCGCTTTTCACAACTCAAAGATGCTTTACAGTATGAGGGAGGGGAGACAAACAAGGACAGGCAAACAAGTAAGTACAAAATAAAAAGGCAGTCAAGAGGAAGTTGATTGAGAGGGGGGGGGTGTGTATAATGATGATGGAAACTAGGTGATGGATATTAGTTTGCAAGGAAGACACAGATGGCTTTTGAGTTTGCTTTCAAAGGAGTCAACGGAAATAGCTTAGCGGACGATTCCAAAGGAGAGGTGCTCTGAATGAAAAGGCTCTGATATCAAACTAGCAGGAAGAAAAACATCTGCTTATAGCGGCTGGATTTGTTTTCCTTTGACTCCAGAAAGTTCAACCCTTCTGTGAATCAGAGGTAAATCAAAGCGTCTAAATCCAAATTGCATCTTGTGCGGTCCACTACCGACTTGATGATACCAAAACCACGACAGTCCAAGTAAATCAAATATATAACTAGGCTGGCACGTGTTATCACAATCTGAAACGTATATGAATACACGCTTACAGACATCCCTGCTTTAAGGCACATGTCTGCCTAAACAATAACAAACATGGCCTCAGAATAATCCAAAAACATCAGTATATAAATCAATATTTACTAAATTACAAAAATAGTGGTATCCATTAAACTGAAATTCAGTCTTGCCAACAAACCCAGAAATAAATATATGCTAAATATTTGTTAAATAACACTTTGAATGAAGAATTGTGGACAAAACAGATATGTGTGGTACAACACAATATTCGTTCAATGTAGTTCTCAATGATGATTGGAATATCCTGAATCATATCGCAAATAGTTATTTTTTCCAAATTGTGCAGCCCTATTGGTGGAGGTGTTATATTTAAAGTTCATGTATTCATGGTGTCGGCCTCTTGCTTGTCCACTCCCTGTCGCCAAAATGTAAAACCACCAGGTCCTGTGAGGCTTTATTTGCACCTCCTTGAATAATGGTAATACACACGATAACTGACAACGAAACAAGCGCTCCCTTTCTCTCGGCTCCGGAACAGCTCCATTTGAATTAAGGACTAATAACACTTCTCTAAATTGAAGTGGCGTTGATCATAGTTGTATCACTGATCCTATACAAGATGTGACGAGTGTTCTTTCTGGGTTCCTGCGAGCCAGCCAACTTCACGTCTTCATTACGTGAAGGACAAGCGTTCACGTTCATCGGCCTCATTTCGTTTCCTTTGAGCGAGGAGCTTCTCACTGAAAGGCTTTCCTGCTCGCTCCGTTTGATCTTGTTTTCGTTCAGATGACATTCAATCATCTTGCCTGTTTTCCAGTATTAGATATTTTGCACGTTGCGTCTTTGAACCACTCCGGTCTACAGTATGTTCCCGCATGAACAGACGGACTTCTGCTCGGCACTGAACATCTTTGCACTGACTGATAATGTCCTGTGATGATGCTGCGAGATGAGATTTTGTGTTATATTTGCATCGTCAATTTAAAACGTTTATTGAGGACTACCTGTGGTTATGCCATTTGATAAATTCATGGTGGAACATTTGCACAGATGTCTGCAAGCCAAACCTGGCACAAGGGATTTAATACATTAGTCTATTTTGGGACACAGATCCAAAACAAATTACCAAGATTCCTCCAGAGTGTAAGAGATAAGAGAGATCGTACTTCTCTCTTGTCTTACACTGTGGAGGAAGTGTAGTGAGAAACATTCCCCACACATCTTTATCTAAAACAGGTCTGTTGGAGTTGTTTGTTTTGTGTTGTTACATTTTGATATCACTGATACAACTACAGTCCCAAACGGGCTCCTAACTACGGTGTCCGACACGTGCCAACACGCTACGACGACCCAAAACATTTCCATTATGAGAAACTTGAGGAAACATGCAACGCGTTTATTGAAACCGCTGCAAGAAGCTCGAACGGACCCCAAAGGACAGTTAGACGTTTCTCCTAATGGACGGTTTTGACGCTGTTGAAACTCGTTTGCACCCGAAGTACCTAATGTACCTAATGTACGCAAATCTGTCCTAAAAATGGTGAGTGTAAGTCATTCCCTTTGCTGAGTTGTTTCCAGATGTTTCGGCTCCTACACTTCACTTCTGTTTGCCTGTTAGGTTGCTGCTGATTTGTGATGCTACTGTGAAATGTGCAGTGTGTTGCAGACGAGGGATGGATGGGGAGACATGCACATATGAGCAGAGAGGACTGTTTGCTGTATCTTTCACATACCTCAAAGCTGACTTTATAAATCAAAAGGCAGCCAGATTTAAACACACACACACACACACACACACACACACACACACACACACACACACACACACACACACACACACACACACACACACACACACACACACACACACACACACACGGGCGGTGGTGGCGAAGTCGATAGGGACTTGGCTTGGCAACTGGAAGGTCACCAGTTCAAGTCCCGGCAAGACCAAGTGCTACCGAGGTGTCCCTGAGCAAGGCACCGTTCCCCACACTGCTCCCCGGGCGCCGTTCAAAATGGCAGCACACTGCTCCTAACATGGGGGTGGATGGGTCAAATGCAGAGAAACAATTTCCCCACGGGGATTAATAAAAGTCCATCTTACACACACACACACACACACACACACACACGTAAGATGTCCAGTGTTTTAAACGTGTATTCCCCTCAAAAAATGTTGTCATTTCTACCTGCATTCACAAATTACTAAATCGTAAAAATGTCAAATTCCTGCATTTAAAGTCTAACTTAATGCCATTAGTGTCGGCATCAAAATGTACTTAAAAAAACAAAAATAAAAGTACTCGTTTTGGGGAATCGTATATTAAATTACTAGACTATGATTTTTGATTCAATAATGTGTTCTCACTGTTAAAGGTGGAGCTAATTTCAATTACTGTTATGTACTACTGGAGTAAAAAGTAGAATAAAATGAAAATACTTGAGTACAAATATGTCAAAATTGTACAATACTTAAGTTAGTGTACTTTTACATCCCGCAACTGCCTTTCACACGAAGTAAAATGTCCAATAAAAGGACATTGATGTGCTCTCTTCATCGAAACGCCTCTCAGAAACGATGTGCATGTATTTCCTTCTGAGTGTTTTCTGCACACTGACTCCACATTTAACACCAGGTCGTTGTGTTTACTGAGTGCCTGCATATACCTGTGTGTGTTTGAGAGTGTGTGTGTGTGATTCCATGAGGTGTGAAAGTGTGTCGTTGCTTTGTGTATCTGTTGATGTTTTAATGTGTTGCTGTAAAGTCAATCAGGGTGAACCACTACGAGAGAGTTACAAATAAAAAACTGTCTGCATCCAAAATCACTTCGTCTCGACACTTATTGAGGATTGAAATGATTCAAAACTGGCAGCTGAAGACAGAACAGAAAACCCTGCATTGTTCACAAAATGTTGGTTTTATTTATATATTTATTTTAAAGATTGTGTCTCCCCTGAGCAGATTAGAGGAGAACCAAATCTCTCCGGAGACCTTCAGGTACACAAAGTCGTTTTTTAAAACTTAATGCAACAGTGAAAAAACATTGTTTTACTCTCCAAGGTATTCATAGACTGTGCTGATGAAAGAATATCTTTTTATTCGGGACTTGTTTTACATTCAACACCCTAAAAAGTGGAGCCATGAAGCTCACAGAGCGAAAAGCAAGAGCAGTGACACTGGATAAATCCTGACCTCCAGAATACAGGATTTGAACTTAAAACAATGTTTTCTTTTACAAAAGATAGAAAAGATCTGTTAAAATATGGTTGCAGATTGTCCCTTGTGCGCTGAAGCTTTTCTTTGATAACAATTCTCTATAAACTCTAATTTAAAAATAAATAAATAGCACAATTCTTAAACAGCAAATCAGTAACACTGATAGCAACACATGTCAAGGTGCATTACTACATATTAAAGGCTCTGTATTTACACATTCTCTCACGACAGTCTCCAATTAAAACAAGAAAAAAGGACCTCAGTGTTCGCTAACTTCCACTAGCTACATGTGTCAAACTCAAGGCCCGGGGGCCAAATCAGGCCCTTGGTGGATTTAATTTCGGCCCGCAGGATCATTTCTAATCACTACGCACACCTTCCCTCCATCCTGAGGGTCTCCTCCGCTCAGAGCCTGAGCCCAAACATTGATGACCTTGCACCCAAGATGAGATGCCAAGTATCTGAGCTAGCATCACAGAGCAGCACACTGAGTTTAATGGATGTTTCCTTCTGCACTTTCTCTCACGACAACAGGGCATGTTTGGTTTCTCTTTGAGGGGAATAGTTTTGTTGAAGCTGTCGTTGGCCTGTGGGAAAATGTACTCATAAGAAATGACTCTGGAAAAGCTGCAGATAGAGCCATAAGAAATGAATGCAGCTGATTATTTAATGTTTAATGTTGTTTTTATAGGCAATCATTTAAGCTTTGTTAGTTCCAGGTTTAATATGTGCAATAAGTTCATTTCAATAAGTTCTGCAATAAACATTGAACCAGTCCGGCTCTCCACTAGTACCCATTTTTAAATATTGGCCCACTGTGTTTTTGAGTTTGACCCCCCTGAGCTAAACAAATACATCCATATAGTATCCACACACATTGAAACACACACTCTTCACAGCATCCTACAGTAAAATAAAATCCATGTAAACAAGGTCAGAAAAGCATCAAAATAGAGACAACAATGAAAATATATTGCCCTCGTTGTGCACAGCTCGTGTTAAACGCACCTGTTTAAGACATGTGTAAGTACTTCAATTATAATGGAGATATTTAAACAATAACATATTCAAAAAAATAAATATGTTTCACGCAATTCCTGGCACCAAAACAGCTGCAAACATTCAGTGAGAGAAGGGTAACGTGAGGAGGAGAGACATTGTTTTGCTGGTTAATTGTAAATTACCTTTAAGGGTCTTTAAGGTGTAGTGACGTCGAAATGTAAAAAACAATACAGAAAGAATCAGGTTAAAGCTATGATAGGAGGCATTTTGTTGCATCTTGTCAGTGAAAAATGTATAACTATTCCACAATATATAAATGGAGAGAGGAGAGAGAAATAAAACAATTGTTCTTAATTGTTATTTTTAAGGGGCTTAACTTTAGAGTTGACACATCTAAAAACCCTCTGCATTCCCACACAGGTGTTTTCAGTTCTTCATTTACCTATAAGAATAACGTATGTGTATTATTTCCTGCACTGACAGGAGCTACAGAGCTGACAGGAGACTCAGGGAGACGTCAAGTAGGCTATACATGTCTTCTTGGATTAACTGAAGACAGCTTTAAAATACAATGTTCTCATGTCAAGACATTCGCAGTGATTTCATTCATTTGAAAGCTGCTGTGCCACCAATCGTCATTACAGTGTATGTCATACAGTAGGATGTGACGGATTAGGGCACTAACCTCAACTTTTAAGACCTTGTTTTTACTTAATGTAAAGAGTGTATGGCCTATTGGCGAATATATGTTTTGGCATCGAGAGATCTTTAGGGAACTGAGAACTGAATTTCTGATAGAATACAAAAGAAAATATCAAAACGTCTCGTGTTTGTATCGTCATATACATCCTTCCCAGAATCCCCGTTCCTTCTGCTCCTTCCTGATCTGACCCTGGCTGTCTCTGATCATTATGTGAAAAGAAAGGCTTCATAAATGTTGGTGGTGGCAGAACATCTCGGTCGTTTTGTCTGTCAATCCTCCTTGATCAAGCTTCAGTATCGTAAGACATCAGTTTCCAGTTTATTGCTCCTTCTCAGAATCATCGTTCCTTCCTGATCTGATCCTCTCGGTCCATGCCGTCCACCCTGAGGTGAGCCTCTCCGTAGCGTTTGATCACGGCTCCGGGCAGCAGAGCCATGAGGGCGATGGCTAACAGCTGAGCCAGAGTCGCCCAGGAGAAGATATCGTCCAGAGAGGAGATCTCCGACAGGATGGAGCCCGTTCGGACACAGATGAAGTTATAGGGGATCAAACCTGGAGGAGAAAACAGGAAGTGAGGGTCATTTATTGTGTGAGATCATGATTCACCACAAGTTTGAACGACTAGTATTTACTTAGTATTTGGGGGGAATTAAACCATTACACGTGTGGTGGTGATCTATTAAAGAAATGCATGACAATATTTTAAGAGATATCTAATTTGGTGTAAAGGCACATGTATGACGAACGTTCGGCATTCGTTTTTTAAGGTGTGGTAAAAACGACATTTTGCCGAAGCATAGAAACGTTTCTTAAGGTTGCTGAGGAGTGGGAGATAGCGGACAGGATCACAATTGTAGGAAGAGAAAGGGCTTGCAGTTAGATAGCAGCAGAGATAATATACCCTGTTTAGTGCACATCACAGCGGCTTTGTCAATGCTTTAGCTGAGTGTCGGAAACATTGTCGGACTTCATGTCAATAATTCAGCAAATCATCAAAACTATGTTCAAATTAAAGGTCACCTATCATGCTATTTTTAGTCAATAGCATAGGTCTCAGATATATACAAATATATAAAAAACATGTCTATGAAGCAGAGGTTGCGCTAGACCTTTTCGCTGTCCGTCATTTTGACGGACAGGATCGTAAAAGTTCCGTCAAAATCCAGAATTACCCGTCGGCCTTTACACAACTCTGACGGGGGGGGGGGGGGGGGAAGCATGCTCGTGAACTGTCAACGGGGGGGGGGGACAGTTCACATGCGCCGTGTTATGCATGGCTGCTGCACCTCGCATGCACAGCGTAAAGCCAAAACTCACAGACATTGCAATGATTCGTACGGCACAGTGAGGTTTGGAAACGGTATGATTTCCTTTTTGGAGGGCATGCATAACACGGCATAACACCAGAGCCTTGCTGCGGGGACACTTTGGCACTGTTCTGAGTTTGTTCTAATCTGTCAAAAATGACGGACTGCTTTCAGATTTGTCCGTCATTGTTAAAAAAAATCCATCATAGACGGAAAATATTCGGTTAATGCGACTTCTGCTATGAAGTGTTTTGTGTATAAATAAAATAAACTTGCCTTTTGCTCAAAATACCAAACAGATCACCCATTCTAGCCACGCCTCATATCCCTCTATTTCACTTCCTGTTTCAAAAGTGCTGATTTGGGGATAACGCTTTAAAAAATAATTGATAAAAAAGGAGGGGTCTGAGCTCACGCGGGACCCGGCAGTTACTGTCTAAACTAAATGCTGCCGTGATGAAACGCCATATCATGGATTATCAAGGATTCTCTCTGAAACAGTTTGGAGCTCAAAGGCTTTCTCTCTTGCCGGTTATACCACAAGGTGAGTTCCTTTTTACTTCCTGCTTCTTCACACACATGCTCTCCAGTACAGGTTAGCTCTGAGTGTTAGCGATGCTAATGTAAACACCGACCATATTACGTCCAAAACAGTCGGGCATTGTTTCTGATAGCAACGTTTCTGATTGGGCCGTGGGTCCACATTTCAGATATTACGTCATATCGGACGCAAATCTGGATCAGCTTCGTTGTTCCCCGTTTTTAGAGATTTGGGTACGGAGGAAAAGAGAGAGGGTTTTATTTTCTGACGCTGCGTGAGTTCCCTGACGCACCGGGGACACATTGATGTATAAAAGACATCAAAAAGTGCATTTTGCATGATAGGTCCCCTTTAAGTTTACAATACAGTTTTTACTGATGTTGAGTGGTTTCCAGTAAGAACACATGTAGCTTGTGCCAATTCCTTTCTAATCTTTCACTGCCATGCACTTATTGGTAAATATATAGAACTACAGCTGACATTTTAAACCTAGTATTGTACAACCTGTGCAATACACTTTAAATTAAACCTCATTCAATACCAGAAATCATCCGTTTGTCTCTGCGTAAGATCACTTCACCCCTCACCTGTGTAATAATGGCAAATGTAAAATAGGACAAAGGAACATGTAATTGCTAAATTGGGGTCGTATTTGGTAATGTGGTTTATTTCCGTTGGTTGTTTTAACATATTAAGGTTTCCAGATTAAGTGAGTGCTTCTTCTTCTTCTTTCGTGTAACGTCAGAGGTCCAACTCGGTGTCGTGTAGCCATGCCCGCATCTCTGGTCCTAAGTCGAAGAGGCTGGCTTCCGAGGGCGGTCAATATAAAGGGCAGGTGGTTATTATGTGTTCGGCAGTCTGTTCAGGGTCACCGCACTCGCATGCAGAACTGTCTGCCAGGCCCCACTTCTTCATTGATGTTTTGAAGCGACCGACCCCAGTTCGTAGGCGGGTTAGTGTGGTCCATTGCCGGCGTGGTAGGTCGTCTCCTCCTATGGCGCCATCTCCTGGGTCCCAGATGTAGCAATGGATGCGGGAGGGCCCGGCTAGCTCCCACTCCTGCCTCCAAGCAGCCGCCAACCATGCATCTCTGGAGAGGTCATCAGAGGTGGATTGAGAATCTCTTGTGCTGCCTTGTTGTCGGGAGGCGGGACTTGAGCCTACTTAGAGGCGCTGCTGTCGTTGTCGTGTTATGCAGGATGTGCCAGTCATGCTTTTGGGCTTTCCTGGCCAGGGCGAGGGTGGCAGCCTCCCGTCGGAGGCCGGCCGGCCGGAGCTATTCCCGCGAGGACTGTTAAGAGGGACACAGGGGTAGGCTTCAAGCATCCAGTTATAATCCTGAGGGCGTTGTTGATGACCACGTCAACCTTACTTGCGTGAGGGCTTCTGCTCCAGGCTGGGGCGCAGTATTCCTCTGCAGAGAAGACCAGGGCTTGGGTCGATAATCGCAGCGTCTTAGTGCAGGCTCCCCAGGTTGTTCCAGCGAGGCGGCAGATCAGCGCGACCCTTGATGGTTAGTGCTAATGTGTTAACCTTGACACACTTAGTCTTCATAGTGTGTGTTTTTAGAGTGTGTGTTTTTAGAGTGTGTGTATAGTCTCACCTATTAACGCAGAGAAGAAGAAAATGGGCATCGGGATGTTGAGGACGGGACACGTGATGTTCAGGAACCAGTTAGGAGTCATGGGGAAGAAACGGAGGAAAAGGAGGAAGAAGAACAAACTGCTACGATTTTCTTCCACCTGACAGAGAGGAGAGGAAGAGAGGGAGGAAGAGAAGGAGGAGGGAGGAAGAGAAGGAGGAGGGAGGAAGAGAAGGAGGAAAAGAGGGAGAAAATGAAGGGGAAAATAGATGAAAGCAGAAACAGAGGTTCTCCAGGCTACTCTCCAACGTTGCCTCTGTGTGAGCAGGTTAGCTCGTTTACGTTAGCACGGCTACTCTTCTAATCCACTGACTGGATGAACTGACCTTCCTCTGCAGCAGAGACACCTTGTCGGGGAAGAAGTGAACAACGTGCTGCTTCCCGAACGCTGAGGAGAGCAGGAAGCAGAAGGTGGAGCCCACTGTGGTCAGAAGGCAGGCCAACACAAGACCCTCCCAGGGCCCAAAGATCGCTCCGGCTAACATGTTCTGGAGAGGGGAGGGATGGAGAGAAGTCATTAATGTCAACTGAGCAGAGAGCGTCGTTCCTCTGAGTGTGGAATCAGGGTGAGGATCTGGAAACCTGTTGCTCTCCCTCGAGGTTCCATTTCCCCCACATTAACTCTGAGTGTTTCCTTGTCTGATGTGAGGGTCTTAGGACAGACGGTGTCATATTGACTGGCGTACAGAACGAGTTATTCGGTCTAATCGTATTAAGTCATGGGACCCTATCTCAGATTATTTAGATTCAAGATTCAAGGCGTTATTGTCATGTGCACAGTAGCTACAGTGTAGATATGGCAATGAAAAACTCAAGTCACAGATGATATGGCAACAATTCATATTCGCTGTTCAGGACATAGCGGGGGTCAGAGACAAAGTTAATACTGTATTATGGTAAGTTATTGAAGGGTTGTCCTATGATCTTTGTGTAGATTTGACCTCCAACCTCTCCTCAGTGTGTGTGTGTGTGTGTGTGTGTGTGTGTGTGTGTGTGTGTGTGTGTGTGTGTGTGTGTGTGTGTGTTAATGTGTCTCACCAGAAAGGAGGATCCAGGTATACCAAAGGACTGTTTGTAGAGATACGCGCTGCAGAACAGCAGCAGCACGTAACTGTAATGTTCTCGTTTATAAAGCTTCAGCATCTCAGCGAGCTCCCGCAGAGAGTCCAGGTCCGACGGGAACTTCAGACTGGAGGGAGAAACGGGTCAACACTTGGTAACTTAGGTTTTTCAACACATTTGTAAAACCTGTTTACATTTGCTTGTTGTTTTTTTCACAGCAGCCTGTTAACAAGCATTACTCAAGAGTTGAACATATAATAAACTAAGAAAAACTCTGATTTCTATGTCTATGTGTGTGTGTGTGTGTGTGTGTGTGTGTGTGTGTGTGTGTGTGTGTGTGTGTGTGTGTGTGTGTGTGTGTGTGTGTGTGTGTGTGTGTGTGTGTGTGTGTTGGGGGGCAGTAACAGGATACATTTGATTGAGGGACAGAAATAGAGCCGCCACACACAGACACACACACACACACACACACACACACGTCTGAAACTCAAGATGCCCACTTCCTCTGTCACCTGCTCTGACTTCAGTATTACTCGTTCTCATTGGTCAGTGGAAAAACATGCTGCTCTGTGATTGGTCAGCAGCTCGATGATGCGTTAGCCCTCAGATACGTGAAACTGAATGAAAGGGAAATGTGTCGCTGTGGGCACCTTTTATTTCGCTTACGCATAACCCCATGATAAATTATGGCTGTGCACATGATTACACACACACACACACACACACACACACACACACACACACACACACACACACACACACACACACACACACACACACACACACACACACAGGTCCTGCTCTCTTGGCCTCGGAGTGTCGTGGTCTGCGTTATTCTAGCGTCCCTAGACAACCTTTACTGTCTGGCACATGGCAACACACACACATACACACACACACCCATGCACAGGAGTAATGAGATATGTTCAATATGTACTAAGGAGAGGGAACGTAAGGAGAGGAGATGATGCAATCAAACACATTTCATATTTTAGTGCTGTACTGACGTGGTTTTATTATAATGTTGAATATTTTACAGATCTGTATCTCATCAGAGATTCTCCACAGGTTATTGGCGTCTTTTAAGGGTGTGATATTCCATTGACTAAAGATTGAATTGAAACATATTTGAATTAGCCTTTACCTTTACTTACAGTGATCCTATAATAATGGTTTCACATTTCCACAGTGTTTTAAGGTAAATATGAAGGTGTTACAAGATCATAAGGGTAATCAGCAACAGTGGGACTTTCTCATTCATACAATTGTGTGTTTTGTTGCCTTTCCTCTTGTTGTGTTGCTTCTAAAATAACTCCTAACTGCATCTGAATTGCTCACATTGAATGAAGCAAACATGTATTTAGTATTGGGGGTATACGTTTTAAAACCATGGTAGCCAGATTATGTTAATCTATAGGGGAAAGAAACCACACTTCAATACAGGAGAAAAGGTCATCTATATACAGAAATCTACCACTGAATTATCATAAAACTTTGCAAAATATACCATAATTTCTGTGTTTTTGTGTCAGTAGAGTGTCTACTTTATAGGTAGGCCAACAAGTAACAACAGTTATTAAAATATTCTAGAGCAATCCTCTCATTACCAGCTTTTTTCACAACTAAACATATTTATTTTTTACGTGTAAACATGGACAAGCTAATACAATGGAATAATAAACAACCTGATCCGAGAGAGACTCAAATCCCTTTATAATCACATTGTACTCACACATGGCATTTTAAATGTAATTACTACTAAAAAACGACTATGCACACTTTATTATGCATCTGTTTATATTTCTTTAGTGTGTTCTAGTTGAATCTGTATATGTTTGTATTGGTTACTCTATGCAATGCCTCGTTTTTGTGCTGCTGTACCAAAATGATTTCCCAATTTGTGATGAAGGAAATAATAGTCAAAATGTGGGTAATGTCACTTCATATATTTAAATGTGATTTCTTCTCCACTTTACCAACTGTATATTCAATGCATTTTAAAGTTGCATAGTGTATTCCCATTGGCCCTACCTGTACTCCTCCACCGTCTCTTCCTCCCCCTCAGAGGCCGGCTGAAGGCGCTTGGTTCCCGGGGGGAGATGAGTGGACAGCAGGTAGAGAAAGAAACTCGCAGCCGCCACAAGGGCACCAAGTCCGACTAAAGAGCGCATGTTTCCCCCCTGTGGAAACTCCCTGGAAACTGTATTTATAACAGGATGGGGAAAAAGAAAGTCGACGTGTTGCGGTTCAGTTGGAAGACACCGAGGAAAGGGGGTGTCGCGTACCGGGGGAAAACGCGCAAATGCCGGCTGACATTCTGGCTGAGATCGGCTGGAGGATCACATGGCAACTTTTTAAAAGTCGAGGGGAAAACCAGTGTTGTTTAAAAACGCACACACAGCAGGTGTTTCCCTTCTCATCCTCTTCGGTTTCCTCCCTTCAGATCTTGTTTCGAAACTTGCTCCAAATGACGGATATTAAAAGTTATTTTACTGAACTTTGTGAGCGCACAGCTGCTGTGTGTTGTGGACGGTCTGATCATGTATTTACACGATTGAGCCACTAGAGGGCGACATGGTAAAGGCCATGTGTTAATGTAATTATGCAGGGGTCTTATTTATAGATCAGGATCCTTTTAGGCATCACTGTACTACATATACATATAGGAAAATACATCAAATTGTACTAGAACACATTTAAAGTGAAATATAAACTTCACTGGTCTTGACAATTTATTTGACATATTTTAAATGGGAGAATGAAATTAAACTAACTGATCTCCAAAAACAGTAAGATGACTGGACTGGACAACCAATTTATAGTTCTCATTATTCACAACTAACCATTATATTGAAACATGTTTCCCTTTGTCATGGGATTTATGTAATATTTAAAACATTGAAGAAGACTTGCTCAAGATTAGCAGAAAAAGAGGTATAAACGTTATACCCCTTTTTCTGCTAATCTTGAGACACATGTACTTTATACTATAAAGTACATGAGTATGAAGAAGAAGAAACAGTGGAACTTTTCAAATGTAATGCGACTTTATGGATGCATCTGATTCTGCAGTGAGACACCAACGAAGAAGAAGATTAGCAGCAGAACACGTGCAGAAAGGTGAGTGAATCATGACATATAACTCTGTTATAATATATGGTGCAAGCTCGTTTTTTTTAGTGTGTCTGTGGCTGCATCCGCTGTGATGTTAACGGGATGTTTATTTATGTCTCTTAGACTTAATGTGTTATTCTGTATTCCAAAATGTGGAGACGCCGCGGTGTACTGCTGTTCTGCTCAGGCTGCAAAGTGTATTTATTGTAGGAATTGTGCAGGAATCATTATTTGGCTCTTATGTTGACATGTTAAAGTATATGTTTCCGCTCCATGTAGCTACTGTAAGGAGACTTTTGAGCTACTTGCACTTTACTGGAGTATTTTACATGCATGCTACTCCATGATGTGTAAACTGATTTTGCACTTGTGTGTTTTTGGCTGCACATACTTTGCACCTGCTGTGGTGTGCTGCTGGCTTTTCATGTGTTTTTTTGTTATGAATTGTCTGAGTTTTGCCCTCTTTCTGTTTTATTGCAGCCTAAGCTAAGAAATAATATAACTGCGATTTTTCTGACAGATATTGCGATATTTGTTTTTAAGCGACCCAACAGAAGTTTGTTGTAAAACGCGGCCTGTTAACTGTGTTCTTATTCTCAGCGTCCAGGAAAGAGAAGCTTAAAAAGGAGACTAAATGGAGTCTCTGGAGGTTCAACATTGGTACTTTAATTAATAAAAAAGGCGCGGTAAAGTCACAAACAGGATATGGTTCGACGGGAGAGAAAGTCTGCAGCTTTCTCTCCCAGGGGGTGGCCGTGCAGAAGAGAGCTTACAAGCATTCGTCCTTCCCGCTTGCTCGCTGTTCGCTCCTCCTCTCTGTGAGCTGTAGTGACGTAAGGGACTTCCCCCTCTTGTTCGTCTGTGTCCGATATCGCGTTAAACAGAGGATTTCGACATTTTACATTCATTGCTTACTTCCACATGCCTTTTCTCCTCCTTATCTCTTTCATAACTTTATATGTAATACATGTTAACGGCGTCAATAGCCACTTTAATGATACTAATGGGCGGTAGTCCCGGATGTCGTCATGAAGGATTTTCAGAATAAAAGCTTAACTGGTTGTGCACAAGAACTTCTGGTTTTTCAGTATAAAACAGCATTTACACTGACGGTATGTTTAGGGTACATTATGCTATCAAAACATTGATTTTAATTTCTAACAGGCCATAACTCCGGCTAGGAAGGTCGCATCAACGTGCTCCCGTCTCTAGCACCCCCGCAGCCCGAGCTACGAGTGAAAGAACTAAACTTACATGAAACTTCCGTTGCTTTAAAGTCAAGATTCAGTTTAAGATTCACCCTGAAATAGAAACATGTGATGGAGCATTACTAACCTGACTCAGATGCTTTCACCAAACCATCTAAAGCTCCATTGGAAGCCATTTGGAAAAGGCAGGCACTTTCAAAAGCACTTGCCAGGTGATTGGATCAATCTGTCTATCCCTTCTATCATGGGCCACTTCTGATTGGTTAACAATGACTGGTACATGTGGAGCACAGCACTTCTGATTGGTGTGGATGACTGACACAAGAAGAACACAAACATAAATAAATCGCAGGCTTTGCGATTTGATAATTGCATCATTTCAAATCGCGATTTCGATGTAAAATCGATGAATCGTTCAGCCCTACCCTGTACTTTATTCCTCTACGTTGCAGTTTACGTTTTTACAATACAACAGAAAGCTTTACATGATGAGATATGACGAGGGTGTTTTGAGTTGACTTCACAATTAGTGCCACGCAGATTCAAATAAGAGTTCAGATTTATTTGATCTCCTCTACAGAAGAAAAATGATTACCAAAATCTCTAATACATATCATAACAGCAGTTCCTAATATATACATGACGTCTGTGTGACATAAAGAGAGGAAGGATGTAAAACACTGATTTACAGACGATGCACGAACAATAGTGTTAAAGTCATGACATGTGATGAACAATCTCTAGTTTCCAATACGTTTAATGAACAAATACTATAACACTTACAACCCTGAAGATCTTTACTTTCCCTATCAGCTAATAAAGCATTAACAGCTCTCACGTTACACCACATGGAAAAGTAAACCCAGGTGATTCTGGATTATTAATTCAATGTTTTTTTCGAGTGTGTTATTGTAGCTGCATCGCCCCCTGGTGGCTGATGGTGAAACTATGGGATATTTCCCTCACTATAATCTGTCATCACAATTTATTTAGCAGAAATTCAATTATTTTTAATACCACATCCACATGTAGCAGTGAAAAACACCGAGTTAGTTGCATTGGGATCATCTTATTATGGCTACAAGCTAACAGTCTGAGGCCTATCAGGCATATATTTACGAAAAAAACAATGTTGACGATAAACAACGACTAGTTTATCTAATAAGAAACGCAAAAATATGCACATATATCCTAAAATTATGAATAACAACTGTGAGCTCAGCCTCAAATGACTTCCTGTTTCAGTAAGTGGGAAGTGATGATGTGTTTCCTCAAGAATAACTAACACACACAGCTAAAAAACAATCCAGTTTCTTCCACAGGTTTAAATAAGAAGATGTTTGGAAAGCTACAGCTTTAGTGCAATAACCTCAACTATGGCTCCAACCAAGTTCAATCCTTCATGACATAGAAACACAGAAGTGAGACACAAACAAAAGCATTTATCTAAACGGTGTGTAAAGGTCTACAGTTTAAAGTGTCTCTTCTCTTTTGCATTAAGCCCCACTTCTTTATAAGGAGGGCTCTGAGCTACATCTGGCTGCTGGGGTCCAATATTATAATAATACATATATATAATAAAACCAGAGCCCTTGATAGAAAGAGTTTCGGACAACAACTTCCCTCTCTGGTGATGACATATGAATGCTGCAAATATAAAGCTGCACGTGTAAACACAGTCTTCAGTTCTATGTAATTATTTAATCGTCATTTCATAAAAAATTCTATCTTCAAACCACGAAGAACGATATTTCTACACTTAAAGGGGCCCTATTATGCTCTTTTTCAGGTTAATATTTTTCTTTTGTGGCTGTTTACATGCTTTAATGTTGAAAAAGTCTGCTCTGATTGGTTAGCTGGATGGCTCTGTTGTGATTGGTCCACCTCTTAGAGATGTCCCACCCCTTAGCCTACAGTTTGTACTCCTGCAAGTGTTATATAGTGATGTCACTTTGTTCATGAAGTAATAAAGGAGTCCCATGTGTGGTAGGGCTGCTCAATTAATCACAATTTTGGCTTGCAACGATTACGAAAACAACGTAATCGAAATAAAACGATTATTTTTTTTATTATAATTTTTTTTATTGGTTTTTCAGTTGAATTATTCTTAAAGTTCAGGGTAATCAACTGCTAAAAACAAACTGTTCATTTGTTTTCAATAAATGGATGTTTGCAAAGTAAATGGATAATCGTTTTTAATAATTGTGATATCAATTATTGACGCAAATAATCGAGATTATGATTTTTGCCATAATCGAGCAGCCCTAACGTGTGGGAGTGAAAATCCCTATGGAGGGAACACAGAGATTTTAGCTTTTGTAGACCATTTACATGCACTAAAACCTATATAACACTACAGGAAAGGGAAACATAGCATAATAGGGCCTCTTTAAAGCTACACTGCTCTAAATGTTTACACACAGAGACTGGAGATCAGCTGTTCTGGTTCTCAAAGATTTTGTGTACAATACTCAGGTTATTGTACTCTGACAGGCAGGGCCGTCCCTGGCCAACATGAGGCCCCACGCAAAGTGATATGATGAGGCCCTCTGTTTCGCGAGCGTCGACCGGGGGGGGTGGTGTGTGAGTGTAGCCTCGCAGCGGCGAAACCGTGCCGATCCACACTAATTGCGCCGCATAAGGTTTAGGTTGCGCACCCTCAGTCAGTTGAGGCCCCCTCCGCAAGTTGAGGCCCCACACAGTCTGCATGATCGGCCTGTAGGGAGGGACGGCCCTGCTGACAGGTACAATCAACACAAAAGGAAGGGGGGTACTCTGTGTGCTTTAAAACGACTTCTCTAAACACCACACTGACATTGATCACACTCTTCTACACACAGCTTTCTGTCCTCTACAGTTTGATTACAAAAGATTTGAGTTGCAGCCTAAACCCCCAAACATGAGTTCTCATTTAATACGGAGAGAGCTTTTGTCCACATAGCCAGCGTCTTTTTATCAATTGGTTCCTATGAGTATAAGGTTAGGGTTCGCCTGTTTTTGGTTGTCTAATTGAACATATTTGAACTTATTATCAAAGCGCTGGTGTTGTCACTGTAGAAAGTGGAGTAAAAGCGTATTTTTGTAAGACAGAAACTATCCTAACAAAGTCAGAAAAGGCTAATTTGTTTGAGCATGTGTGAATGAAGTATTTACTGAATCGTCTTATTCGCTCTGCGGCTGTCAGACTGAAGCTCAATCAGACAAAGTGTGAGTTAAAAACAATGTCAAACACATATCATAGTAGCACAATGAGATAGAGAGAAGGCAAAGGATTGGAGCTAGTCTGTCCTATAACAGCTGTGATACGTTATCAAGATATCGTGTCATAGAAACCTTGACAAAAGGTGCTATGTGGACGGTCAAAACATGGCAAAAAACACAGCTAGACGTGTGATGGTATTAATGGATGTTAGAGTAGGAACGTTTTTGTCCGAGGGAGCATCAATAAGAGGAAGGTGATCCAGACACATTACAATACAGTGTGTTTTCACTTCCTCCTGAAAACTGGAGCTTCTTTCCAGTCCGTTGAGCAAGTTCCCCGCCTTTTATGAAGTGTCAAATCTTATTAGAGTCACAGCTGCTCCTGACACCCATTTTATTCCCAGTGTTTGTAATAATTCAACCGGGGACATCAAACAGCGCAGGTGGAAGGAACACATTAATTAAAGTCCGACAAAATCTGGTCTGCCGCCACCTCTGATTGGTGTTTATAGAGGTCACATGGCATGAGGGGGAGGGGCTGATTGGACAAAACGGCCTCATATGGCGGCGCTGCCTCCATCGGGAAGGAAATGGAGGCGATGTGTTGATGATCCAGAGGGAAATGAGAGGGGGAGAACCAGGAGGCGCTGGCTGAAGTCTCCCCGTAGTTTGGAGATGGATCCTGGGGAGACGGATCCTGTTCCTCCCCCCTCTGACAGGGGTCCAAAAGGGAGTAAGGAGGAGGGTCGTCTGTAGGGAGGAACATCTGAGACGATCCAGGGCCGACACACTCATCGTATCTGAGGAGATAGACAGAACAAATAAGCAGTTGCTACGAAAATGCATTAATTAATTAAAGTCTCTACTTTAAAGAGTACTCTCCTGCTGATGTTCAGGTGTATATCAGTATGTAGTGTCTCTACTTTAAAGAGTCCTCTCCTGCTGATGTTCAGGTGTATATCAGTATGTAGTGTCTCTACTTTAAAGAGTCCTCTCCTGCTGATGTTCAGGTGTATATCAGTATGTAGTGTCTCTACTTTAAAGAGTCCTCTCCTGCTGATGTTCAGGTGTATATCAGTATGTAGTGTCTCTACTTTAAAGAGTCCTCTCCTGCTGATGTTCAGGTGTATATCAGTATGTAGTGTCTCTACTTTAAAGAGTCCTCTCCTGCTGATGTTCAGGTGTATATCAGTATGTAGTGTCTCTACTTTAAAGAGTCCTCTACTGCTGATGTTCAGGTGTATATCAGTATGTAGTGTCTCTACTTTAAAGAGTCCTCTCCTGCTGATGTTCAGGTGTATATCAGTATGTAGTGTCTCTACTTTAAAGAGTCCTCTCCTGCTGATGTTCAGGTGTATATCAGTATGTAGTGTCTCTACTTTAAAGAGTCCTCTCCTGCTGATGTTCAGGTGTATATCAGTATGTAGTGTCTCTACTTTAAAGAGTCCTCTCCTGCTGATGTTCAGGTGTATATCAGTATGTAGTGTCTCTACTTTAAAGAGTCCTCTCCTGCTGCGTTTGCAGAACATTTACATGCCCACAAAGCATTAAAGGGCCTCTTAAGTATCCTAGTTTGTATCTTTATGTAGTTTTCTAAATCTAATCCCATTTCCCTGAAGTGTGTATTGTACGTCACATCTCTGTGATGCTGTATATCTCCCCACTCTGACAAGGACACATAAAGAAAGAGAAATGCAGCCTAATCTTCAGAGAGACCTTTTTATGTAACAACAACACAGGAAAAAACAGCTCATGTCTCACTTTCTTTCATACCCACTCATTTACACACACTCCATGAGCAAACTCACACAAGTCTTACCAACACCACATTTCCCATAAACCCCTGCTCTCCATCGCTCCTGCACCTCTGCCAATCCTGCAAAGTGTGTGTTTTGTTAAATGTATGCTGTGTTTCATCATCACGTATGACCAAGAACAAATTGTTTAAGGCAGTATAGCCTCCCTCTGCCCTTTGCACACAGAATAAAACCTATACAAATTGTGTGTGTGTGTGTGTGTGTGTGTGTGTGTGTGTGTGTGTGTGTGTGTGTGTGTGTGTGTGTGTGTGTGTGTGTGTGTGTGTGTGTGTGTGTGTGTGTGTGTGTGTGTGTGTGTGTGTGTGTGTGTGTGTGTGTGTGTGTGTGTGTGTGTGTGTGTGTGTGTGTGTGTGTGTGTGATGACGATGGGGCAGGAAGCAGTAAATCAGTGTAACTCAATCAGAACATCAGTCTGGTAGCACAGTGCTTAAAGTGTGTGTGTGTGTGTGTGTGCGTGTGTGTGTGTGTGCATGTGTGTGTGTTTTACCTTACCCTCTTTCCTTCTGTCTTTCATCTTTCTGTCGTTATGTCTTTCTCTGTCTCCTTCACCTTCCTGTGACTATGTGTACAAACCAGTCATTTCAAAGCTAGGTGAGAGTGTGTGTGCAGTGTGTGTGCAGTGTGTGTTCCCGCATAAGAGAAAGCTATTTTAGCCTACTGGGCCACTGCAGCCACTGCTCATCTTCACACACATTTCTCCCTACTTTTATACACACATTAATCTCTATACCGCTGTGAGTGTGTATAGTTAATCATTTCAATTGGTTAATCACTGGTTGGTTATTGATAGCTTTTACTAACCGCAAATGACATTAAATGTGTCCCACTAGGAGACTTTAATGATTTTTAAAGTGTTATTACTGTCAACACCATTGTACATAGTTTTGAACTCAGTTCTGCATTTTAAACAGTATACTTGCGGTGGTTTCATTTAATAATAATATTAATGCATTTTATTTATATAGCGCTTTTCACAACTCAAACACGCTTTACAGTATGAGGGAGGGTAGACAAACAAGGACAGGCAAACAAGTAAGTATAGTAAAATAAAATAAAAAGGCAGTCAAGAGGAAGTTGATTGAGAGAGGGGGCGGGGCTTATGGGTAGACAGAGTTGAAAATATGTGTTTTGAGGCGGGACTGAAAGAATGTGAGGGACTCAGAGTCACGAAGATCTTGGGGGAGGCTCTGTCCCCAAAGCTGCAGAGTGGGAATGGATAGGAGTCCGGCTGCGGTGGATCTGAGGGACCGTGGGGGTTGATAAGGAGTGAGAAGGTTTGTGAGATAAGGGGGGGCCAGATGGTGGAGGGCTTTGTAGGTGAGGACCAGAATTTTGTAGTTGATGCGATGGGAGACAGGAAGCCAGTGGAGGTCTTTGAGGACTGGGGTGATGTGATGCCATGATTTGGTATGCGCGAGGAGACGTGCAGCTGCATTTTGAACCCGTTGGAGTCTGTTGAGGGATGTAGTGCTGATGCTGTAAAGAAGTGAGTTGCAGTGGTCAAGGCGGGAGGAAATGAAGGCATGGATTAGTCGTTCGGCTGCGGGGCGGGTGAGAGAGGGTCGGATTTTTGCAATATTGCGGAGGTGGAAAAATGAGGTTTTAACTGTTTGGTGGATGTGAGGTTCGAGGGAGAGGGTGGGGTCAAAGATTACGCCAAGGTTGCGTGCCTGATTGGAGGGGGAAACAATGGTGCCATCGATGGTGAGAGTTATGTTAGTGACCTTGCTGAGGGTGGATTTGGAGCCGATTAGGAGGAGTTCTGTTTTGTTGCTGTTCAGTTTGAGGAGGTTATGTTGCATCCAAGTTTTAATAGCTGTCAGACAGGAATCGATGTGGGTAAGGGGTGGGTTATGGAGGGATTTGGTGCTGAGGTAGATCTGAGTGTCATCAGCATAGCAGTGGAAGTCCAGGTTGAAGTGGCGGAGTATCTGACCGAGTGGGAGGATGTAAATGATGAAGAGGAGGGGGCCAAGTACTGATCCTTGAGGAACGCCTTGGGTGACTGAAACTGTGGCAGAGGAGTGGTTTGGGAGGGAGATGAAGTGGGATCGTTCAGTGAGGTAGGACTGGAGCCATCTGAGTGCAATACCTTCAATACCAATGTCCCAGAGTCGGGTGAGCAGGATGTTGTAGCTCACGGTATCGAAGGCTGCACTCGGGTCGAGGAGGATGAGAATATTGAGGGAACCAGTGTCAGCAGAGGTGAGGAGGTCATTGAGGACTTTGACGAGTGCAGTTTCTGTACTGTGGTGAGGACGAAATGCAGACTGAAGGGGTTCGTAAAGCTGGTTGGTTTGGAGATGACAGTGAATTTGTTTGGCTACAATGCGTTCAATCGTTTTTGAGAGGAATGGTAGGTTGGAGATGGGGCGGTAATTAGTGAGGGAGGAGGGATCAAGACCAGGTTTTTTGAGGATTGGAGGATTTAATCATGGAAACCCAAATTCTGCTTGTACATAATTAAATAGTATTTAATTGAATTTTCTATTCTTTTTTATGTTGTTTTTTTAATGTAATATATTTGTATTTTTAATGTATTTAAATTTAATTTGTATTTTTTTTTTTTTTTGGAACCCGCATTTCCAGGGACCTTTTTAAAATATTTATTCTGATCATTTTCTGTTGCTTTGGGAAAACTGACCTTGAGCAATTATGTCAACAGGGGGCATGTAGAGGTGAAAATTGGAGTGAGGGGAGAGAGAGAGAGAGAGAGAGGAGAGAGAGAGAGAGGAGAGAGAGAGAGAGAGAGAGAGAGAGAGAGAGAGAGAGAGAGAGAGAGATTCGGGTGTTTCACACTGAAACTCCCTCAAGCTCCTCGCCTCCCTGCGGCCTTCTACTCTGTGTGTGTGTGTGTGTGTGTGTGTGTGTGTGTGTGTGTGTGTGTGTCTTCAGAAGCCTCACGCTAATGAGTGTGGGGTTTTACACTTGTGTGTGTTCTATTGATGTGAGTGTGTTAGCGAGGTGTGGCTGAGTGAAAATAATGTCTCTCCTTTGAGATTCTCTGCTGGGAGGAACACAACTGCTTCTGTTCAGTTGAATGTCTTTGTTTTCATCATGTAAGATGACACTTAATAACTTAATCTTAATAAGTTAACACTTTTTCCTGCATCCAAATCATACTTAGGTAAAATCACAAACATATTGGCATCAAAGTATACTTTATATAAATACCCTTTTCAGAATAAAATATATAACATTAGTGGATTCTGGACTTCTTTACCTGCATGTCTACTTTATTTAATATGTTAGTTGCTTTCTCCTTTGCTGTAACAGTGTGCATTTCCCCGCTCGGGGACGACTGAAAGATCTCTAAGTTCTGATATTTTACCGTCAGGTCAGAAGCACACAGGTCATTATTAAAGGAGGACCTCTGGCATGAGTTCATGCATCAGTTGTGACGCTCTGCTACAGCACAGAGCATATGGTCTCTGTGTGTGTGTGTATGTGTGTGTGTGTATGTGTGTGTGTGTGTGTGTGTGTGTGTGTGTGTGTGTGTGTGTGTTAGTGTAAGCTGGCATGTGTCTGCACTGTGAGGTATTGAATTATTATGTTAAAGTGTATACTTTTTTCCAACATTATGGCAATGCATGCATCAGTTTATCAGGTTGCATTTACCTACACCCTGATATTATTATGCGACACAAATGGGAAAGCAAGGAGTGTGTGTTTATAAGTGTGTGCCTGTGTGTGTGTTTATAAGTGTGTGTGTGTGTGTGTGTGTGTGTGTGTGTGTGTGTGTGTGTGTGTGTGCCAAAGCTTCTCCAGCTTCTCCCTGAGAGGAAGCAGAAGCTCTCCGTCTCCACAGGTGAGCAGCTCCTCCGTGAGTTGTCTTTGGAGACGAGAGAGAGAGAGTGTGTGTGTGTGTGTGTTTGTTTTCTGACAGTGTGTGTTTGTGTCGGAAGTGTAACGTTCACAGTCTCAGTAGGTGAGCTGTTGATCTGAGTAGTGTGCGTTTCTCTCAACCATCTGTGGCTCACACACACACACACACACACACACACACACACACACACACACACACACACACACACACATACACACACACACACACACACACACACACACACACACACACACATACCATGTATACATCACTTCAGGGGACATTACATTGACTTACATGCATTTCCTGGAGACTTATCCTAACCTTAACCATAACCAACACATGCTTAACCCTAACCCTTACCCTTACCCTTACCCTAACCCTAACCCTTACCCTTACCCTTAACCTAATCCTAAACCTAACCAAGTCTTCACCCTAAAATTAATGATTCCCCTCATGGGGACCTCCAATTTGTGGTCGAGTCCCCACACGTGACTGTAAACAGATTTAGGTCCCCACGAGTATAGTAATGATAGGCCACACACACACACACACACACACCACACACACACACACACACACACACACACACACACACACACACACACACACACACACACACACACACACACACACACACACACACACACCACACACACTCTATACACAAACACACACACATCCTGCAGGTTGATCACATGACAACATCGAACAATGACTCGTCAGCATTATGATAAGCAAAATGTTTCTGAATGTATGTGTGTGTGTGTGTGTGTGTGTGTGTGTGTGTGTGTGTTGGCTGCTGTCCGGCTCACACACAGTCTGTCCACAATGCTCTGGTTTCCTGCCAGTTCTCTGACGTTGTTGTAGCTCCCTTCTCTTTTGTTTTATCCTTTTCTATCATGATGCAGATCTCGTGTTTCGTCGTCTTTGTTTGATTAGAAACGTATTAGCATTAGCGTTAGCATTGCAGTGTTTCCCATACATTGATTTATTTGTGGCGGGCCACCACAATTAAATATCGTCCGCCACAAATGGATCTCATTAAAAAAATAAAATAATAATAATATAGATAGAGTATATATTTTTGTTATGATGTTTTTTCTTTTTTGGTGGTCTAATGGAGAGTGAGGTGGGCTGATGATCGGAAGGTTGCGAGTTCAAATCCCACCTGGAACACCACCACTAGTGTGCCCTTGACTAAGACACTTAGCCCTCGGTTACTCCAGGGAGAATGTCCCTGTAATTGGTCATTGTAAGTCGCTTTGGAATAAGGCGTCTGCTAAATGCCTAAATTGTAAATCATATTTTTGGGAGAATAAACCCCACAGATCCTCAGAGTGTGTCTCACTCACTAACAACGCAACACAGAGCAACAAGAACGTTGTCTACAGTAGCCATGAACTCGCATGTATTTTCTTATTTGAGGGGGGGGGGGGGTGGATACGTGGGCCACCCGAATAGGTTAAGGGGCCTTTGGCTTTTCTTGCCGGGGGGGGCGGTGCCCCCACAAATATAATCAAATTCTGTGGGAAACACTGCATTGGCTATTCTTTCTCACGTCAACACACCTACGTACTAGGGATCGACCGATATGGCTTTTTCAAGGCCGATACCGATACCGATTATTAGTAATCAAGGAAACCGATAACCGATATTTGGAACCGATATACATTTGCAGTAAAATCAGAAAATCTTGGTGTCAAAATGTAGAATAACACAAACTCCAACACAACTCAACACAACTTCTTTGAAATGCATTTAAGCATATATTATGTTTAATTAACTTTTAAACATCTTACAACTGGTTTCCTCTCTGTGCCCTTTTCTTTAGTGCAGCCGTCTGCAATGAGTTAGAGAGAGAGACAAGAAGTGGGGCTGCAGGCTGACATGCTTAACTAACAATAATGCTTAATTTATTAGATCTATCTATCTAGCATAACATCCCAATAAGCTGCTAGCAACTGCAAAACACTAGTGCTAGCTAATGTTTTGCAAACTATAAAAAGTGAGGCTATCACAGTAGACCTAACGTTAGTCTAGGACCCTCACTTCTAATATTTTGCTAAACATTTGCTAGATACATGTTGGCTCGCTAATGAGCTTCACATATCAACCTGAAACACTGCGAGGCTCCACTCGCAGCCACCCCCCCCCCGCACCACAGTTACTCCGCTGCGAGACGCTGCACGCACCCCCAACTCTGACTGACTTCCCGCGTCGCTGTGTAACTGGGAAACTGATAGAATTGGATCATAAGATCGTGGTGTTTTTGCAACTTCAGCATAGGGGATAGGTTTATTGAACTTCGGTTTAACACATGTATGGCTCTGCCGCTCAGCGCTGCTGCTTGCTTCAGTCTGTGTCTGCGTTCTTTCGCACCTGCCTGTAATCTGAGAAGGTCCCGCCTCTCTGGCTGTCTCCCGGAAAATCTTCAGTAATAGCCTATCAGATAGCGCTGTGGGCGGGACATTGCTCGTGTACACAGAGTGGTGACTGCAGCCAGAGAAACGGCCGCATCAGAGCCAAAGTTTTATCGGCAATTTGATTAAAAAAAGGCCGATACCGATAATCGGTCAAATGCGGAATATCGACCCCTAGTACGTACACACTATAGCCACATAGACATAAACAAACATTAGCAACCAGCTCATCTGATGTAATTTACAAGTGAAAACTAAAAACGATCATCCTTTAAACCTTTAATAAGGAACAATCAAAACATTAATTACATTTCCTGTCTAGGGACCGTTGACTTTCACCCTTGTTTACATGTTGTTTCTCACACCTTAACTCTTAGTTTAAAGTGTACAAACAAACACAGATAATCAGTTCAATTACAATTTCTAAAATGAATGATGTTGTACTGTTTTAAAACACGATGGTACGGTTTCTACCCCGTGCTGCTATTAATCAGGATGTGTGTGTTTATCGTAAACATTGTGGTGCATTATGGGAGCTGTGATGGGAACATTTTCTTGGCCCACATAAAGGTCCTGCAGCACAAAGCTTTACTTAAACACCGGAGCAAACAAAACCCCCGCTGCTGACCAGGTGTAAGCCCTCCACAGATAATGCATCGTAAGGATAATGCACTTAGTTTTACAACATAGCAGGAAGAACATGATCGGAGCTTTGGTTCAGTCCCAACATCCTGCTATTCAGGTTCAACCCTAGTGAAGAATAAGCATCTCGAATGTGTGTTTTCCTTAGAGTTCCATTTAATTTAATTTACATTGATGCTGAAAGTCGTAAAGTTTTCAAATGACCGGGACATCAGAAAGTCACACACACTTTTCTGAGTCAGTAAATGAACTCTCTTTTAATGAACAAATAGAAAAGATAAGATGCTATCCAACCTCTGATCGATTCATTTGGGGGTAAAGTGATTGGATGACTCCAAGGCAGAGCAAGGGGAAACACACACACACACACACCACACACACACACACACACACACACACACACACACACACACACACACACACGCGCACACACACACACACACACACACACACACACACACACACACACACACACACACACACACCACACACACACACCATATATACATACCATGTATACATACCATGTATACATCCCTTCAGGGGACATTACATTGACTTACATGCATTTCCTGGAGACTTATCCTAACCTTAACCATAACCAACACATGCCTAACCCTAACCCTAACCCTAACCCTAACCCTAACCCTAACCAAGTCTTCACCCTAAAATTAATGATTCCCCCTCCATTTTGTCCCCGTAAGGTAGGCGAGTCCCCACATGTGACTGTGTAAACAGATTTAGGTCCCCATAAGTATAGTAATGCTAGGCCACACACACACACACACACAACACACACACACACACACACACACACACACACACACACACACACACACACACCACACACACACACACCACACACAACACACACACACACACACACACACACACACACACACAGCAGGGAAGGGATGTATGTGAATTATTAAAGTTGCCAATTAGACCAGCTGACATTTAGATCAAAAACACCGTGACATTGGCCTTTTAGCGAACTCTTTCTTCCTCTTACACAACAAACAGAAAGAGCTCTAACGTTTATCGCTGCACCAGAGGAAGAAATACTCCCCAATAAATGGATTATCAAGCCGAGAGGACAGAGAAGAGTCGGGGAAACGAGCTGAATCACCAGTAACGTTTTTTAGATTTGACTTTTGACATCATTGGCAACAAGGAGGAGTGGTTGCTTGATAACACATAACATAGCTGGTGTTGGGTGAGGACAGACGGGTTTGATTTAGAAAGCCCCCTTTAAAATGTATTTTAATGTTGTAAATCTTACTTTTTGTAATGCAACTGTAAGGGAATGTAATCATTAATGCATGGTGGACTACTCAACTTTCGATATGAGTTAAAAATCTGCCATATTAATAATGAATGAATGAAAAGCATGTCTGTCAGTTTCATGTGTGTTTTGACAGCAGGCTTCAGATTTTACATTTGATTGTTTAAACATTTAAAGTAGTACTTACCGTGGTGGTGAGTCGGGGTAAAAGCTGTTGACCTGGGACAAAGTCTCTCTGTACGAATCAAAGTCTAAACCCGGAGGGAAATCTTCTAAGCAGGTCGATCTCAGCTCTCCTACTGAGCCTCCGTAGGAAAAACCATCCAGACCTGCAGGGAAATGAAACCAGTGAACTCTCACGATTCATGATTTCATTATGGTTGGACACACTTCTTGGTAGTCAGCTGAATGAAATGTATATATGTGTGACCATAACATGTGTAGGAGCCAATTAACACTGTCTAACACTGTTACCTTGGTTGCTGATTGGCTAATGGTTACACAAGCCAAAACATCGTTATGACATCATCAAGTGGCCAAAATCTGATCAGCTCATTTTCAGACAGGTTTTTACAGAAATGGATCAGGACAAAAAGAGAGAATCTTTGTTCCTGAAACTTTCAGAGTCTCTTTCCACAGAGGGGACACATGTTGATGTAGAAGAGACATGAAGAAGAGGGGACACATGTTGATGTAGAAGAGACATGAAGAAGAGGGGACACATGTTCATGTAGAAGAGACATGAAGAAGAGGGGACACATGTTGATGTAGAAGAGACATGAAGAAGAGGGGACACATGTTGATGTAGAAGAGACATGAAGAAGAGGGGACAACATGTTGATGTAGAAGATACATGGAGAAGGAGGGGACACATGTTGATGTAGAAGAGACATGAAGAAGAGGGGACACATGTTGATGTGAGAGGAGACATGGAGAAGAGGGGACACATGTTGATGTAGAAGAGACATGGAGAAGAGGGGACACATGTTGATGTAGAAGAGACATGAAGAAGAGGGGACACATGCTGATGTAGAAGAGACATGTGAGAAGAGAGGGGACACATGTTGATGTAGAAGAGACATGAAGAAGAGGGACACATGTTGATGTAGAAGAGACATGGAGAAGAGGGACACATGTTGATGTAGAAGAGACATGAAGAAGAGGGGGACACATGTTGATGTAGAAAGAGACATGAAGAAGAGGGGACACATGTTCATGTAGAAGAGACATGAAGAAGAGGGGACACATGTTGATGTAGAAGAGACATGAAGAAGAGGGGACACATGTTGATGTAGAAAGAGACATGAAGAAGAGGGGACACATGTTGATGTAGAAGAGACATGGAGAAGAGGGGACACATTTGATGTAGAAGAGACATGAAGAAGAGGGACACATGTTGATGTAGAAGAGACATGGGAGAAGAGGGGACACATGTTGATGTAGAAGAGACATGGAGAAGAGGGGACACATGTTGATGTAGAAGAGACATGAAGAAGAGGGGACACATGCTGATGTAGAAGAGACATGGAGAAGAGGGGACACATGTTGATGTAGAAGAGACATGAAGAAGATGAGGACACATGGTGATGTAGAGAGACATGGAGAAGAGGGGACACATGTTGATGTAGAAGAGGACATGAAGAAGAGGGGACACATGTTGATGTAGAAGAGACATGAAGAAGAGGGGACACATGTGATGTAGAAGAGACATGAGAAGAGGGGACCACAGGTTGATGTAAGACATGAAGAAGAGGACACATGTCTGATGTAGAAGAGACATGAAGAAGAGGGGACACATGCTGATGTAGAAGAGACATGAAGAAGAGGGGACCAATGATTGATGTAGAAGAGACATGAGAAGAGGGGACACATGCTTGATGTAGAAGAGACATGAAGAAGAGGGGACACATGCTGATGTAGAAGAGACATGAAGAAGAGGGGACACATGCTGATGTAGAAGAGACATGAAGAAGAGGGGACACATGTTGATGAAGAAGAGACATGAAGAAGAGGGGGACACATGTTGATGTAGAAGAGACATGAAGAAGAGGGGACACATGTTGAGGTAGAAGAGACATGAAGAAGAGGTGACACCTGTTGATGTAGAAGAGACATGAAGAAGAGGGGACACATGTTGATGAAGAAGAGACATGAAGAAGAGGGGACACATGTTGATGTAGAAGAGACATGAAGAAGAGGGGACACATGTTGATGTAGAAGAGACATGAAGAAGAGGTGACACATGTTGATGTAGAAGAGACATGAAGAAGAGGGGACACATGTTGATGTAGAAGAGACATGAAGAGAGGGGACACATGTTGATGTAGAAGAGACATGAAGAAGAGGATTTTGCATATTAGGTGAACTTTTAATGCTGCATATATATAAGTCAGTGAGGAAGTGAGAGTTTGATGCTGACCGTAGCTCGCTCTGAGGTGAGGGTTTCGGAGGCGGCTGTCTTTGCGCAGGCTGCCGACGATGATGGTGACGCAGGAGAGGAAGAGCACCAGACCTATAACGATCCCCGCCAGCACCAGAGGAGACACCAGCAGAGACGCCTCCCCCCCCGACTCCCTCTCGCTGCGGCAGTCCGGGAACTCCCCATGGCTCTGGTTGGAGCTCACTGTGAAGAGAGGGAAATGTCAGGATGGAAAAAAACAATTCAACGATGATCTCTCACTGACTTTGAGAGGCGTAGTTCAGTCTGATCAGAACAGGATATTGATAAGAGCAAGTTCATCCAAACCAGCCGTTCCCAACCTGTGGGCCTCCAAACAATTTGCAAAAAATATGATTTGTGTGGATTTGTATTTGAACCTCCTTTCCTTTCTCTTTCTTGATCCTCCATAGCAACGGTCATTCCAGTCCTTGACAGTCGTCTGTTCTACTGGATTAACAACATGTCACATGTTCTGAATCGACCAATCAGAACTTAATTTAGCCTCTGTATCGTTTATGGTTGAATGTGGGCTGCGAAACATTTTAGATTCTTAAGTGGGCCCTGAGTTGAAAAAGGTTGGGAACCGCTGATCTTAGCTGTTTAATATGAGCCAAAGTGCTGTTATGCTGTTCTTATTGCCTTCTTTAGTTTATGTGACAAAGACCTGATGTTTCCCCATAAACATGACGTACAAAAAGCTGCATGAAGTTGCAATAATACATTTAAATCCCCCTGCCAGCTCTGCCAGATTTAGAAGCACTTCTTTAATTTGATTCACCATGAATCCAGAGTAAAATGCTTTTGTGTGCTTAAAGTAAAGGGGAATAAGTAACACCAGTGTAATTTGTGAGATTATGACCTTCCTGGCCAAAGTTACAGAGGGGGTGCCAAATCCGGCAGCCATAACACCAACTGTGCCAGATTTAGAAGCCCCCCTGCCATTTTATACACCATGAATCCAGGGTAAATTGCTTTTGTGTGCTAGAGGGAAATAGCTAAAACCACTGTGATTTGGATGAGTTTAGGACCCTCCTGGCCAAAGTTACATGTCATGCTTTTCCGGTTATCACCCGTCCCCTTGTGTGTTTTTCTGCATGTAAACGGTCTGCAGAGTCACAAACCCTCAAAGTACAACCTGTAGCGAGTAAAACTCTAACACAGAAAATACCTGTCTATGCTGCCCCAGAACGCCTCGTTGGACATTTCTCTTTTTCCATTGTTTACTTCTTGGGTACAGTGACGTAATGTTACGTTACGTCCGCGGAGCCGTTACGTTTGGACCAATCCGCGGACTTCCTCACACACACACACACTCAGCGGGACGTTGCGAGGCTCGCTGCTGCGAGGAGCGGACACTGTGAGCCGGCTCACTGGTGTGGGGTCTGCGAGACAGCGAGACACCGCGGAACTCAGCTTGAGCACACACACAAACAAACTCCCAGCCAGGCTGCGGGTGTGTGTGTGTGTTCGGGCTGGGTTTCGCGTTGTCTTGCAGACAGCCACTGGGCTCACGGGGGGGGGGGGGGGCTCCAACAAGCCGTTTGGGACAGAGAGTGAATACACATACTATACAGAGATGCTGTATGAGAAACCAATGTGAGTTTGGAACATTGAACAATGTAAATCTATTCTAGTCGACCTCAACAATGGAATTATGATCAGTAGAAATGGCCATGACATGGGACCTTTAATGTTGTAATTCTTACTTTTTTTAATGCAACTTTAAGGGGAATCTAATCATGAATGCATGGTGTAGACACAGGACACAGTGTTACTCATTTATAGATAGATTAGTTCAAATCCGCCGTATTAATAATGAATAAATGAAGCGCATGTCTGTCAGTTTCATGTGTGTTTTGACAGCGGTGCACCAGGAGGTCGTTTCATAACTGAACACTTCCTCCACTTCGTCTTCCCTCTCCACGTCTTTCCCTGAGGACTTATTCCATTTCAGTGTGTGACAGATAATTAGAGCTAGAGTCAACACACACACACACACACACACACACACACACACACACACACACACACACACACACACACACACACACACACACACACACACACACACACACACACACACACACACACACACACACACACACACACACACACACACACACACACACACACACACACACACACTGTGGCTCTCAGTCATCATCATCATCATTAGATTACAGTACGATCCTGTTCCTCTTCATTTTATATTTCATGTCTGTTTGCTCTGCCTGTTTGTCTCTCTATCTGTCTCTCTATCTGTCTCTCTATCTGTCTCACTGTCTGTCTCACTGTCTGTCTCACTATCTGTCTCACTATCTGTCTCTCTATCTGTCTCACTGTCTGTCTCACTATCTGTCTCTCTATCTGTCTCTCTATCATTCTCACTGTCTGTCTCTCTGTCTATCTCACTGTCTGTCTCTCTGTCTCTCTCACTGTCTCTCTCACTGTCTGTCACTCTATCTGTCTCACTGTCTGTCTCTCTATCTCTCTCACTGTCTGTCTCTCTCTCTGTCTCTCTCTCTGTCTGTCTCACTGTCTGTCTCTCTATCTGTCTCACTGTCTGTCTCACTGTCTCTCTCACTGTCTCTCTCACTGTCTGTCTCTCTCTCTATCTGTCTCACTGTCTGTCTTACTGTCTGTTTCTCTATCTGTCTCACTGTCTGTCTCACTGTCTGTCTCTCTATCTGTCTCACTGTCTGTCTCTCTATCTCTCTCACTGTCTGTCTCACTGTCTGTCTCTCTATCTGTCTCACTGTCTGTCTCTCTATCTGTCTCACTGACTGTCTCTCCATCTGTCTCACTGTCTGTCTCACTGTCTGTTTGTCTATCTGTCTCACTGTCTGTCTCACTGTCTGTTTGTCTGTCTGTCTTTCTGTCTCACTGTCTGTCTCACTGACTGTCTCTCTATCTGTCTCTCCATCTTTCTCACTGTCTGTTTGTCTGTCTGTCTCACTGTCTCACTGTCTCACTGTCTGTCTCTATATTTCTCACTGTCTGTCTCTCTATCTGTCTCTCTATCTGTCTCTCTGTCTCAGCAGGAGAGGACTCTTTAAAGTAGAAACACTATACTGATATACACCTGAACATCAGCAGGAGAGGACTCTTTAAAGTAGAGACACTACATACTGATATACACCTGAACATCAGCAGGAGAGGACTCTTTAAAGTAGAGACACTACATACTGATATACACCTGAACATCAGCAGGAGAGGACTCTTTAAAGTAGAGACACTACATACTGATATGCACCTGAACATCAGCAGGAGAGGACTCTTTAAAGTAGAAACACTATACTGATATACATCTGAACATCAGCAGGAGAGGACTCTTTAAAGTAGAGACACTACATACTGATATACACCTGAACATCAGCAGGAGAGGACTCTTTAAAGTAGAGACACTACATACTGATATACCACCTGAACATCAGCAGGAGAGGACTCTTTAAAGTAGAGACACTACATACTGATATACACCTGAACATCAGCAGGAGAGGACTCTTTAAAGTAGAGACACTACATACTGATATACACCTGAACATCAGCAGGAGAGGACTCTTTAAAGCAGAGACACTACATACTGATATACATCTGAACATCAGCAGGAGAGGACTCTTTAAAGTAGAAACACTATACTGATATACACCTGAACATCAGCAGGAGAGGACTCTTTAAAGTAGAGACACTAGATACAGATATACACCTGAACATCAACAGGAGAGGACTCTTTAAAGTAGAGACACTAGATACTGATATACACCTGAACATCAGCAGGAGAGGACTCTTTAAAGTAGAGACACTACATACTGATATACACCTGAACATCAGCAGGAGAGGACTCTTTAAAGTAGAGACACTAAATACTGATATACACCTGAACATCAGCAGGAGAGGACTCTTTAAAGTAGAGACACTACATACTGATATACACCTGAACATGAGCAGGAGAGGACTCTTTAAAGTAGAGACACTACATACTGATATACACCTGAACATCAGCAGGAGAGGACTCTTTAAAGTAGAGACACTACATACTGATATACACCTGAACATCAGCAGGAGAGGACTCTTTAAAGTAGAGACACTAAATACTGATATACAACTGAAACTCAGCAGGAGAGGACTCTTTAAAGTAGAGACACTACATACTGATATACACCTGAACATCAGTAGGAGAGGACTCTTTAAAATAGAGACACTAAATACTGATATACACCTGAACATCAGCAGGAGAGGACTCTTTAAAGTAGAGACACTACATACTGATATACACCTGAACATCAGCAGGAGAGGAACTCTTTAAAGTTAGAGACACTACATACTGATATACACCTGAACATCAGCAGGAGAGGACTCTTTAAAGTAGAGACACTACATACTGATATACACCTGAACATCAGCAGGAGAGGACTCTTTAAAGGAGATACACTAAATACTGATATACACCTGAAAGTGAGTAATGATGTCCTCTTTAATGAAAGCAGTTAAACTAAAATACACTAATGTATTTATAGGTGGACAAACGTTGTGATTTCTGCCTCTGATTTCACTCTTTGTTTCTCCTGCTTTGAATATAAAGCAGGAGAAAACTCAAATCACTCTCTCAGTATAATTTTAATTTCAGTCTCTTGTCTTTTGCTCGTTTCTCGTTTTTGTATCTCCCTCTTGAACGTCTGCGTCTGTAATTCTGTTGTCTTCAGTAATTTGGTTTCACACAAACTCCCGAGAAGCAGAAAATGTTCTCTCACCCCGAACGATTCCCAGCAGACCCTCTCTGCTCTCGCTAATGTTTCCTCTATCACACACTCTCTATGTCTTCCGCTTTTTTTCCTAACATGATTTTCTCTTCTCATCTCTTCCTCCGAAACTCCATTTTCTCCTGTCCTCCCCTGGAGAAAACTCTGAAGGAAATCTATAATTATATAGATTTAAATTCACATGCAACACACTCTGCTATTTATGTTAGTCCAGCACTTTGGTCCAGACTGAAATATCTCAAGTGTTCGATGGTTAACAAGAAGGCACGTTTATTTATTCAGCACCTTTCAACACAAGGCAAGTAAGTAAAGTGTTTTACAAAAATGTCACATTAAAGGTCCCATGTCATGGCCATTTCTACTGATCATAATTCCATTGTTGAGGTCTACTAAAATAAATGTATATTGTGCAATTTTCCAAACTCAC